TAAGAGAGACATACATGGTCCCCTGGATAAGAAGAAAGGGACAAGATCTCCAGAGCAAAGTGGGCAGAGGGAGGGAGGAGAAAGAGAGAGTAGAAGGGGAGGGGGGAGGAGAACATGAGGGATCCTGAAGATGGAGTCTAGGAAAGAATAGAGAAGGCGGGGCGGTGGTGGCGCTCGCCTTTAATCCCAGCACTCGGGAGGCAGAGGCAGGCGGATCTCTGTGAGTTCGAGGCCAGGTTGGACCAACAGCCTCAAAAACAATACAGAGAAACCCTGTCTCGTAAAACCAAAAAAAAAAAAAAAAAAAAAAAGAAGAAGAAAGAATAGAGAAGGAGAGCAAGGAAAGAGATACATTTATCGAGGGAGCCATTATAGGTGTAAGAGAAATCTGGCACCATAGAAATGTTCAGGGATCCACAAAGATGACCCCACCCAAGTAAGAATCTAAGCAATACTGGAGAGGCTACCTTAAATGTCCTTCCCCTATAATGAGATTGATGACTACCTTAAATGCCATCCTAGAGCCTTCACCCAGCAGCTGATGGAAGCAGAAGCAAAAATCTGCAGCTAAGCACTGAGCCAAACTCCTGGAATCCAGTTGTTGAGACAGAGGATGGATGAGCAAAGGGGTCAAGACCATGCTGGCAACAGTTGACCTGAGCTAGTGGGAACTCATGGACCCCAGTCTGACAGCTGGGGAACCAGCATAGGACCTCAACAGGGCCTATGTGGGTGTCAGTTGGGAGGCCTTGCCAGTCTATGGGGCCTCTGGCAGTGGAACCAGTATTTATCCCTAGTGGATGAATGGACGTTGGGTGCCCATTCCCTAGGCAGGGATGCTCCCTCCGGCTAGATACATGGGGATAAATGGGAAAGGGCCTAGATCCTGCCCCAAAAGATGTGTCAGACTTTGATGAACCCACATAGAAGGCCTCACCCTCCCTGGGGAGTGGATAGGGTGGGATGGGGGTTTGGTGCAGGACATGAGTAAATGGGAGAGAGAGGGAAGTAGATTTGGTATGCAAAATGAGATTGTTTTTAACTTAAATAAAAATGTATTGAAAAAGAAATAAGTAAAAGAAAAGACACTGCAGTTCCGGGAAATAATGGCTACTTCCCACAAGGGCACGTGCAAATTCACAGCACACATCTCCCCACTCAGGCAAAGCCTGGGCACCCATGGGTGAAGAGCACAGGAGATTTCACCCTAATCTGGTCCCAGGCTACAGAAACTGTACAACATGTAATTAGCACAAACTACAGAAGCAGAGGGCATCCCGCAGCCTCTCTGGCTGATAATGGGAAATAACCCATGTGGTCACCAATTGAAGGCAGGAGTTTAAATGATTTCACCAGACCCAAGATAAATGATAAATAGGTGTTTATTAGGGAATGACTTAAACGGATAAGAGTAAATAACTGCCCAGGTCTTCCTGCTCCACAAGATGCTGTCTCTAATCTTCCCATGCTCTCTGCCACCCAAGAGCGAGCATGCTAGCACCTCCTCTACCTGAAGGGTCAAGTCTGTACCTGAAACCACGCCCAAAGGGAGTGACCACTACTACAAGTTGGCCTGCAAGGCAAGATGCCACTACACTCTGTCTCAGGCTGCTTCCTTAGGAAGTGCCCTGCAGCATCCAGGAAGAAATGGCAGCCAATGCCCCAGAGCAGCTCACCACATGCAGTCTCTGCCCTAAGGGAGAAAGGAAAAGCCCCTAGGGTCTTTGTCTTAATGGTTAATCTCCTCCTCCACAAGGGACTGATGTCAAGGGGGCAAAGCATGTTCCAGAGCTCATGCAACTGAGTCTCTGTGTAAGCTACCAACCGCTGAGGTGGTGATCAGGTTGACCTTAATTACACTCAGCTCATTTCTTATCCTGATTAGTTTATTGCCATTCTTGGCATAGAAGGCCAAGAGCTTGACCCCAAAATGCCCCAGAGAGGCCTGCAACTTATTCTTGTGGGCATAGTGATCTCATCTAAGTTAATCTATGCAATAAATTAGCATATAATAATACTCACATAATGTTCCCCAAAGCCATCATGCCTTCATGTGCTCACCAACTTCTCTGTGCTTGAGAACACCGGTAAACAGCAGACAGAACCCTGTCCTCAGGTCGGGACTGCAGCTCAGGGGGAGAACACTTGTCTAGCATATTAACAAGGTCGTTTATATGAAGCCTTGGGCACCATGTCAACACCAGGAGAAAAATTTCTGTCCCCATGGGGTTCATATGTCACTGAAGGAGGCAAAATGTGAAGTAAGAAGCATATGACATTGCGCTATTGCTGAGGTATCTGAGTGTATCCCAAGAACCCATGAGTTATAGTGTAGATCTTCCATCCCCAGCACTTGAGCTAGTGGAGCTCAGGTCTCTCCTTGGTGTGTGATGACCTCTGCACAGACACTAACTCTTGGGGATGCCTTGGCTGAGTGAATCACACCAGACGTCTTTCTGGGCTCGTTAAAAAAACACTTTGACCTTCCATGGTAGCTAACACCTGTTCCCAGCATTTGGAAGGCTAAGGCAGGAGGATATGAATTGCAGGCCTGCCTGGAATACATAGTTTATTGTAGGTCAGCCTGAACTGCAGCGTGAGATCCTAACTCAAAATAATTATTAGAGTAATTTAGAAAAACACCATCTCCAAGGAAGATGGGAGAATGTGTGTATGACTGGCCTACTGTGTGCTTCTACCTAGAAATCCATATGAATGAGTTGGGAGGTAGGAGAGAGGATTGGCTTACTATGTTCTTCTACGAAGAAATCCATATGAATGAGTCAGAAGTATAGAAAACACTGTGAGAGGCTGCACAGTGATTACTAGCCTGGTGACTCAAGTCTCTCCTACCATATGAGTTCTTGACACTAAACCAGGTTGTCAGGTTGGGTGCCAAGTCCCCTTATCCCCACTGGACCATCTTGCTAGCCCAAGCAATTTGGGTTTAAAACCTAGCATTGATGTTTTGCCTGCAGGTACATCTGTATGAGGGTGTTGGATCTGCTGGGACAGGAGTTACAGACAGTTGTATGCTGCCATGTGGATACTGGGAATTAAACCTGTATTTTGTGGTAAAGCAGCCAGTGCTCTTAACCACTTAGCCACCTCTGCTCCTCCCCCCACAAAGGGTATTGAAATAAAATTTGAGATAGTAATATATTTTGACAATTAAAGATTTATATCTGAAATTCTGGGAAAATATAAGCTACAGATTTTGGCAACATAAAATAATTCCAAATTTGATTCTTCTTGCCAGACTCACTCTGTAGCATTCAATAAATAGGCTTACTCACTGAGTTTGTCTTAATTCTTCTTGCAAAGTCACAGGGGAATGCTGAAGATTTCTAGACCTGTAGGACCCCTGTGCTTCAGGAGAACCTGTACGCTGGAGAATCTGAGCCACGACTTTAGGTTTAGACCTAGGTCCTTCATAGACCTAGATGACACAGACTGACAAAATACCCAACATCTACTGAACTGGCAAGTGCAGCTTTCCTTAGCCTATAGTCAAAGCTTAAGCCACTTGCCTTCACTCAGCAGAAGGGCACCTTCACTCCTGTCTACCTGATGAACCCTTGGGCTGCTTTTTGGAGTCTCATGAGGATCCAGGTTGAGCTCATACTCCCTGTGTAGCTGAGGATGACCTTGGAATTCTACTGGTCTCTTGCCTCCACTCCAGAAAGCAGGGCTATGCAGTGCGGGGACTGAACCCAGGGCCCGTGCACACTAGGCAAGCACTCTACCAGCAAACATCCCCAGGCTGCCTCCTTTTGTTCTGTATGACATAACCTAACCCCAAAGGCCAGGACTGCACTCACCTTCATGCTGTGTTAGCCTCCAAGGTGGAAGGGGCAACGACCCAAAGTGTCTTGGTAGAATTTGAATGTGAGTGGGGAGATAGATCCTGGGCAAGGGTGGGTAGGGTTACCCATTGAGCAGAGTTCCTGGGGTTCAGGTCAACTTCTCACTGTGACAACAAAGTCAGCCATGTACTAATTGCTCAGGACATGGTCCCCTCAGCTTACCTGAGATATCTGAGTGCAGGACCTCACTGTGTTCTGATCCGTCAGGGAGAGAGGGGCCATGCCTGTCCGGGTCTGAGTCAGGACGCCACCTCTACTTTGCACCTTAACACCTGCTTCTTCACTGGAAAAAGAGGCTGCACAGACCCCGAAGCTTCTTGAGGATTCCAAATCCCTCAGAATTAAGGAGAGTAACTAAATTCTTTACTTTGGATGGCATCTGTGTCTCATGTCAATGGCATCCAAGTTTATGACAATGACAGTAAAAAGGCAGCAACAGGGTTGGGGACACAGCTCAATCACTATAGTGCACGTAATGTCGTCACGAAGGTCAGGGTTTGATCCCTGGTACCACATAAGAGCAAAACATAATGGCCAGTGTGTCTATTCCCAGTGCCAGGCAAGCAGACACAGATGGAGTGTCTGGGGCTAGCTGGCCAGGAGAACAGAACAAAAAACAAACAAAACCCCTAAAGAACAGACCAAGGTGACAGTCCCAAGGAATAGCACCTACGGCTGACTGCCCCCCCTCACACACAGACACACAGACACACAGACACACACTGAAGGGCAGCACCTGGCTGGGAGAAACACGTTGCTTGCGGGCCTACAACTGAATGGGGTCTGTACTATCAGTGTGCTTACTATTTCTGGAAGTCAAAGAGCTTTGTTAAGTGACTTTCGGGCAACCAGGTCTTCCCAGACAGGAGAACATGGTGGGTAGTCCAGTGACATTATATCAGGATGTGGGCATGCCACAGAAACCACTACCAGGACAAACAGGGTATCCCTTTTTGCTTTCAGGGTCTTGGACACAGCAAACCCTAGTTAGCAATGCCCAGGATTTAGCAAAGCAGGTAACTAACTTATGGTGCAATTAGGTGAAACTTGCTTCTGCCTAGTAAACTAAAGACCTAAAAATTCAGACACAAATAAACTTAGTCTACAAAAAAAAAAGGACATATAACAAATGCCTTTGATTTTACAAGAAGTTTAGCCTTTATTATAACCACTTACTTCTGTCATCACAGCACTAGCAGTACCGTCAGTGAAAGGGAAAGACTGGGTTCTAACAAAACTTTATAAAAGCAGCAAACATTTGGTTTACAGTACTTCACGAGACTCAGAAAATAGCTTGGTTGCTTGAGGGGATAAGTCTAGTCTGATCCTGTGTGATAGGAAACTTCCCACTTTGTAAGTGGTGTCAGAACAGTGTCCAGTTAGGTGGGGAGTGAAGAACCTGGACTGAACGGGGCTGCTCTGGAAAAGGCTGAGCCATCCCGCATAGGGTGCACCAATCCCTGACCCATGGTTCCTTGGCAAGCACTGTCCTTACTTTGGACCCCTAGGAGTCTCTCTACTCAGTTCCTGACCACCTTCCCTTCTCTGGTGATGGCCCAGTTATAGTCCTTTGGAGAGTTCAATGCTTCTTCTATCCGTGCCTCCAGGTTCTCCCGGGTAATGAAGTTTTTTGCCTCCTCCTATGGGAAGAGAAAGGTTAGCTACATGCTAACTCCTTCAGAGCTGGCACTCTGTACAGCTTACTGTTTGTAGCCCAGGAGGGTTGAGGTTCCAAGTATCCTTAAAGAAAGGTGTCTCAAAGAGTCCCAGGTGTTGATGTCTTGGCTTCTCCCTCTCCCTGGGTTCTGGGCAACCTGGCCTTGTTCCTGTGCCCAACACTACCCCTCCCCCTTCTCCTCAGTGCCTGCCTGTCACTCGGTGACAGCCCTCTCCTGGGCCTGGGCCTTCTCCTTAGGGAACCTGTCCTGGTCATGGGGCCTCTCTAATCCTCAGGCTCTCCATGCTCGTCTCTGGGCTACCTGCCCTCACCCTGGGATCCATGTTTGACAGGTGATCGCTCCTCACTGACAGCTGTCAAAGTCTGCATGACTGTGTTGTGCATGCGTTAGGTGGCTGCATAAGGGCTCTGCGGCCCCTGCACCACAAGCAACTCCAAGGTATCAGGAAAAGAGAGACAAGACGTCCACTTGTTTGTACTAAGAGAATGCATGTGCTGTCTTTATTGCCAGGAGAATGTGTGTGTGTGTGTGTGTGTGTCTTCATTGCAAGTGCTAAGAGGTCTCCCTCTTGTAGGAGGGAGGAGCTTTATATACAGGTTTACAGCACAGTGGAAAAACCCCAGGTAGAAGAAAGCGTGTTTTCCTCCTGCTGAATGTTGATGTCAGAGGGTCAAGGCCAGGGCGGTAAGCCAGGACTAGAAAACAGGAAGCACTTGGACTGGAAAACAAGTTGCACTTGTAGGCTGACCAGCAACTCACAGAGACCCCGTGGGGCTGGGGCCCAACATCCTCTGCATGCAAACACCATGTGGCACTGGGGCCTCGTGGAGCTGGGCTAACAGCAGCTCCATGATCCCAGTTCACTAAGACTCGTTCTTAACTTTTCCCTATATAAGCAAGGGCCCCTGCCTGTTCTCTCCATGTCTGCTCCCGTCCCCAGTGAGCTCCATGTGGGTGTGTTGAGTGTGGTGGATCCTGTGTCATCGCCCACTGCAGCACCAGGCCTTTTTGAGTGACCCATCATTCTTCTACTTGGTGTCCTCAGCCATCACATTCCTGACTCTTTCTCCGTTTTTTTTTTTTTTTTCTTGTGTTTGTTTTTCCCAGACAGGGATTCTCTGTGTAGCTATGGAGCCTGTCCTAGAACTCCCTCTGTAGACCAGGCTGGATATTCCTGTTTCTTGGCCAACCGATTACCCACCTCTCAGTCAGAACTTAGGACTGATTAGAGGGGGTGGACTCCCTCAAGCCCGTCACTCCCCCTTACACTGAAAACAGTTTCATGTCTCAGCTATGGGTTTCCCTGATTTCTAGTTTCACAAGGCAAATACTAGCCTGTAACCTTTCACTGAGCAAACATGCTCTCCTTGCGCAGAGCGAGAAGACTCGTTGCACTGCCCTCTCCAGAGTATCCAATGCCCGTACTCCCCTCCACCTCGGCCCACCTGCAGCTGGAGCACTTCTTGCTCTTTCAGTTGCACCCAAGCCTGCTTCTCCCGGGCCCGCTGGGCCTGCTCCTCGGCTTGTCGCAGCTCCTGGTCCCGTGCTTCCAGCTGCAACCTAGCTATCCTGAAAAGGGCAAGAAGCCGAGGGTGAGGGGGCCTACGGCTGAGCCTGGCCCGGAGCCCAACCCAACCCTTCGCGCCTCGTACCTCAGCTCCTGGAGCCGCCGGTTCTCCTCCCGGTTCCAGGCCATGAGCTCCCGGTGCTCCGTGGCGGCCTCCTGCACCTTGCGCTCGGCCAGGACCCCAGATCGAGCCTCGTACGCTTTCTTTCGCACCTCCGACACGAACTCTCGCCTGGGTGAAGATGGGCTTCAAGTCGGCACCCAACTTCCCTCCCCAAGACTTCCTAGGGGGTGCCGAAGGCCGCGTGCCCTTTGCACACACCTGATCGCGCTCACGGTCTGCCGGTACTGCCGATAGCGCTCAGTCAACACGAAGAATTCCGCAGGGTCCACTGCCGGCGGCATCTTCACGCGCCCGACTTTGGACTTGGCAGGCGGGTCGTGGCGGGTCTTGCGGCCGCGAGCGGGTAGGAACAGCACAGTTGAGGGCTGGCACCCAGGTCGGGGGGGCAGGAGGTTCAGAGCGCGCAACATGACAGCTGGAACCAGCACCAAGCCCGGCCCGGAAGTGGCCGCGGAGCACCACGGGAGTCCCGGTTTCGTGGCCCCGCCCCCTTAAGGCGGAGCTTTTGTTGTCTGGCCCATTGCCTCTTGGGGGTGGAAGGGGCGGAGAAACTTGATGGCCACTGCTTGATGGGCTGCGTCGCTGGCAAGTGACTGGCAATACCACAAGTCACTCCGCCAACCCGTTCACAAGCTTGGACACGGCCCCCAAGCGTTTGACTCTGCGGCTCTCTAGCAGGCGGCCTGCTTAGCCTTTCTGGCCCGAAGCACGAAATTCTGAGCTTATAGCCACTTAAGTTAGACTCATACTTCCTCCTACTAAGCGCTTTCCATGTGCACTTTAAACTTTAGACTTACAAATTACCATTTCCTTGCGCTGCACTGCCCTGTTGTGGTCTTGGGCAGCTCGGCAGTTGCCTTGGTTCTCAGTATCAGCTACTGTTCTTCTGACCTTATGGTGGGCGACCTGTGTGAGATGATCCTCGTCTCTACAAGCCTGCCCACCTTGAGAAATACTGAAGCTTTTTAGTACTTTTCCCTCTGCAGCTGAATGGTTCATCAGAACTGACGGAGGACCCCCATCCCCTCCCCCAAGCAGGAATTTCCTCCCAGACTCCGGGTTAGGCACAAACCACACCCAAACATCTCTTTTCAGAGAGATATCCTCTGTTAAGCAGTTAAGAAAAATTAAAGCGACTGCTTTCTGACTCAGGCAGAAAACAGCAACAAATGACTTTGCAGGTGTAATTTTATTTTATTTTTTTCTGAGACAGGGTTTCTCTATGTAACAGCCCTTGCTGTCCTGGAACTCGCTCTGTAGATCGATCAGGCTGGCTTCAAACTCAGAGATCCACCTGCTTCTGTCTCCAGAGTGCTATGATTAAAGGCGTGCACTACCTCCGCCTGGCCACAGGTGTAATTTTTAACAGTAGAAAACGGGGAGGTCTGTATTAGACTGGGTTAGGATGTGGTGGTATATTTTGATTGGGCATGCTAGTTACGTGAACCAAAGGGGGTATTTTTTTTTCTCTTCCTGAGACAGGGTTTCTCTGTATAGCTTTGTAAATGAGGCTGGCCTCAAACTTAGATATCCGCCTGTCTCTGCCTCCCGAGTGCTGGGATGAAAGGCATGTACCATCACTGCTTTTGATTGCTAGACTTTGGTACCCATCCTCAGGAATGAGTCTGGCACTGGAAAGTGTTCACATAAGAGAACAGGCCTTGATGGCTAGCTTTAGGGATATAATCTGTTTTTGTTTTTGTTTTTTTTGTTTCAGCAAGTTGAAGGGAATGGGGGAGGGTGAGCTAGTGTCCCTTCAAGTGTTGTCAACACCAGCTTCTGCAGAGAAGAATACCAGGGCACTTGGGAGGCTGGGAGTGGCCCGGGCTGGCTTCAACAGCAGATATTTTCTCAGAACAGAGGCTGCCTACATTCTGCTCTCAACTTCCAGGCCCAGGGCTGGTGGAGGAGTCCCAGACTCTCCTCTCAGGCTTGGTTGCGCTATTGCCCTTTGACACCAGGAGTCCTGGAGTGAGCTGGAGTCTTTCTTTGAGGGTACCAGTCATGAGACCACTGCTGAGCCCTTGAGTGTCCATGATGGTCAGTGGCAGCAAGGTCACTCCTGCCAACTTAGCCTGGAACTGGCCACTGCAGGGCTGCTCTTACAGCTAGGGAGCCTGGCATTCCCACACATAGCCCATCCCTCTCCATTTTTGAAGGAGGCTTCAATGCATAGCTCTAGTGGCCTGGAATGCACAATGGAGGTTCACCTGCCACCGGCTCCTAAGTGCTGGGATTAAAGGCATGTGCCACCACATCTGGCCTAACTTTCTTTTTCATGTCACTCTAGACAACTGGCACCTCAGACAATCTCAGTGTCTGGGCCAAGAATATATATCTGGGTATGAGCCACTTCCTAGAGGCCTCCTAACCTCACTAGCTCTGAAGTCCTCAGCTGGTCAGGCCCACCACACTTTTTTTTTTTAAAGATTTATTTATCATGTAATACAGTGTTCTGTCTGTATGTATCCTTGAAGGCCAGAAGAGGGCACCAGTGAGCCATCATGTGGCTGCTGGGAATTGAACTCGGGACCTCTGGAAGACCAAGTATTCTTAACCACTAAGTCATTTCTCCAGCACCACCAGCCCACTTATTCTTCTTTTGGGGGGTTTCCTTAGTGTAAGTGCAGAGAACACAGATTTTTAGTCCTAACATGGATAAACTGTGCAGATGTTTTGATTATCTGAAGCTAGAGAAGTAGTAGGCAGGCTTCCTGCTCCCTCTCTGTGGCTTGTGGGGTTGTGGACCGGTGTGCAGTGGTGCTGGAAGTCAAGTAATTTGATTTGCTGACCCTCCCATGCTAAGGTGCAAGCACAGGAACAGATAGAATTGGTGAGGACAGAAGTTGGAAAAGGAGACTTTTCTGGGCAGTTCATGACTAGAGGGACAAACTATGGATGAGGGGGCTCTGGGTTGCTGCAGGACCCTAATCAGATGATCCTAGGAGTTAATGACCAGGAGCTCCATTTCCTCTCATGTCAAATTCAGTTATGTCTTAAAAACAAAACAAAAACCTTCAATAGGGTCAAACTAGCTGGCATTATATTTACAACTTAGCCCAGGCTGGCCTTGAACTCGTAGTAATACTCCTGTATCTGTCTCCTATGTGTGCCACCATGCCATGGTGCAGTGACATCTTCAAACAGGGAGATGCAGGCTGCTACTCAACCCCCTTCCTACAACATCCACGTCCATGGACAAATATGAAGTCCTGCTGGCTTTTTATTTTTATTTTATTATTTTTTTTGGTTTGGTTTTTTGAGACAGGGTTTCTCTGTATAGTTTTGGAGGCTGTCCTGCAACTTGCTTTGTAGACAAGGCTGGCCTCAAACTCACAGAGATCCATCTGTCTCTGCCTCCTGAGGGCTGGGATTAAAGGTGTGTGCTACCATCACCTGGCTACTGCTGGCTTTTAAAGGTATGGTTTTGTTGGAGGAAGTATGTTACTATGGAGAAGTGCTTTGAGCTCTATAGGCTCAAGCTACACCCAGTGTCCGAGTCTACTTCCTGTTGCCTGTGCAAGATGTAGAACTCTCAGCTACCTCTCCAGCACCATGTCTGCCTGCATACTACCAGGTCCTGCCATTATGATAATGGACTGTACCTCTTAACTGTAAACTGCCACCTCAATTAAATGCTGTCCTTTAGAAGAGTTGCTATAGTCATGATGTCTTATCACAGCAATAGAAACCCTAAAATACCAGGGATCTGAGTTTGAAACAAAAATCATAAGGGAACTGGAGAGATGGCTCCGCAGTGAGGTTGAATTTGGTTCCCAGCATCCACATCAGACAGCTCAAAATCCCCTGTAACTTCATTTCCCAGGGATCCAACACGTCTGCCTTCTGCACTCATATTCAAGTGCCCAGGCAATGCATTAAAAAATTAAAATGGTGAACATGCAAGACAGGTAAAGGCACTTGCTGTAAAGTCTGAGGCCATGAGTTGAATTCCTGGAAGCCACATGGTGGAAGGAGAGTACCAACTCCTGCAATGTGTTCTCTGCCCTCCACACATGCATTCTATTGCACGTGCGCATGTGTGCACGCGCGCGCACACACACACACACACACACACACACACACGCACGCCCGCAAGCACGCACACAAACTCAAAGTGGCTACAAAGTGGCCAAAAGGGGTGCACACAGATATTTCCCTGAACTTAACTTTACCAACAGCAGTAGGTTACCATACAGACATGTTGAGAACAAATCCACACGGCACTTTTTTGGAAACCTTTTTCTTTTCTCTAGTTGGGGCTGGTCTTGAACTTCTGAGCCTTTGCTCTAGCTCTTGAATGTTGGGATAACAGGTGTTAGCACCATGACCAGTTCATGCAGTGCAGGGTTACGTACAGGACTTCTAAGCAGGCATTCTGTCAACGAAGCTGCATCTCCAGCCCAATGCTTTGGATTCTGGCCATACCTCCTAAGGTTTGAGAAACACCAAAGTGCAAGTTTTGTTCCTTGACCCAGACATTGCAGTGAATTTATAGAACTTAAATCATCCTGATTTGTGCAGAATGTGCCTCAATCCTATTTACATTTTTCAAAACTGCTCTCCCTTTCCTCCTCAATGGCCATGCACATCAAGCTTTGTGGACAATGACATAGTTTAATTGGACCTGTTTCAAACTTGGAAATCAACTCTGCATCTAATTAGACATGTATTGTGAACAGTTTATTACATTGTGTGTGTATATGTGTGTGTGTATGTATGTATGAATGTATGTATATATGTATATATGCCATGAGAATTCCAGGGACAACTTGGAGTGCATTTTCTTTCTTGGGGATTGAACTCAGGTTGTCAGGCTTGGCAGCAGGCACCTTTACTCTCCAAGCATTTTGCTGGTACAGACAATGGTCTATATTCAGGTTTCATCTTCCTACTTCTTGGGCTGCATACTCAAGTTCCTTCATTTTCAGTCTTGCACCCTTCCTAACCTCAAACGGAAACTGACCTGGGGAAGGCCAATGCCTGAGGATTCCCTGACTCACCTCACTCAGAACTCTGGCCTAAGAACAGAAAGCCCAGCAGTCTATACAGAGGTTTAAGAGAGTTCATATTTGCTCATCTGCAAAACAGTGCAGAAGTGCCAGGCAGTGGTGGTGCACACCTTTAATCCCAGCACTTGGGAAGCAGAGACAGGCGGATCTCTGTGAGTTGGAGGCCAGTCTGGTCTACAGAGCAAGTTCCAGGGCAGGCTCCAAAGTTACACAGAGAAACCCTGTCTTGAAAAAAACCAAAAAGCAAACAAAAACAAACAAAAAAACCCAAACACTGCAAAAGGCTTCATACCAATACATACTTGGCACATGGGCTCAGGCACTCGGGATGGAGGTAGGCTTAGGTGGGGTAGTACCGAGTTGACTTTTCTTTCTTCCAAGCAGACCCAGGAGGGCAGCCCAGCAGAAGTGACCCTGCAGTCTCCCCTCGTATGAGAGTAAGGGATAATCCTCATCCTGTGCTCAACCCACAGTCATTTGTAGATCTGGACCCTACTAGCTTGGTTGCTGGAGAAAGGTCTTTGTAGCCTAAGTGTGAGCCAGTAGCTCTGCTTTTCACTGCCAGTCATTAACCTCTGGGGGTGGGAATGGGGTAAAAAGCAACATTTATAGGGTTAATAGCCATTCTGGATTTGGGTTGAAAAGCAAATATGAAGGTAGGGACAAGTTTGGCATAATGGTGACCAGAGCCACTGGCAATCAAGTGCACCCAACTTTCAGACAATGACAACAGCATGAGAGATACCACTGTTGATGCTGGGCATGAGCTTCAGGATGGCTCTAACTGTGACTTCCTAGAGTTGCCTTATTAGTAGGAATAGGAAATGAATGCTAAGGGTCTCACTCTGAAGCTCTGGCAGTGCTGGAACTCATTATATAGATCAGGTTTGCCTTGAACCCACAGATATTTGCCTGCTTCTGCCTCCAAACGCTGGGTTTAAAGACACTTTGCCACTATGCCCAGTTTAAATTTTCTTAGACTTAGTTTATTTTATGTGTATGAGTGTTTTGCCTGCTTGTATGTCTGCGCATCTTTTGCTTGACTGGTGTCCAAGAAATCAGAAGGCGGCACTGGACCCTGGAACTAGATGGTTGAGAGCCATCATGTGGGTGCTGGGGACAGATCCCAGGTCCTCTGCAACAGCAACAAGTTCTCTTAACCACTGAGCTGTCTCATTTCTTTTACACAAACATTGTGAGTATGTGGCACATAACTAGGCTTCCTTTGCACAACCACTCTGTCTGGATTTGAAGGTACCTCCTGGCAGCTTCAACTCACCTTTTTTTTTTTTTTTTAACCTTAGCTGTCCTGGAACTCTGCAAACTACATTAGCCTTGAACTCAGAGACCTGTGGGGGGTTGGGGGGAGAGGCACCTTTCCTTTTGACTCACCTAAATTCTCATCAGCACCCCTTGGGTCTAGTGTAAGTTACTCCCTTTCTGGCAGCCCAATAGCGCTTACCTCTGCGTGCGCCTCTGTGGAACATGCCAGGGTAACTGCTGAAGCCCTGAGAAGCAGAGGGCATGCCCCACTCTCCATCTTTCCCTCTGTGAACAGGAACACCTACTGTGCTGGGAAGCTGCTTGTAATGCTGGGAGGTGTGTGGATAATCTACCATCCTTGCCAGATCAAGTGACCATTAGATTTCCAAAATACCCTTAGGCAGTAGCTACAGGCCTGGGTTGTCGCCAGTGAAAACAGAAAGTATAACTTTTGCTTCTGTTTACAAAAATGAAGTTGCTTGCTTTCTGAGTGCCTTCCTATTCCAGGTTGGCAGCAGTGGCCCAGCTCCCATCACAAGGATGAGAATATTATATCTTTAGAATATTCATCAGAAATGGAAGAACTGGCAGGGCATGGTGATTTGGGGAAGCAGAGGTAGGTAGATCTCTATGAGGTCAAGGCCAGCCTAGTCTACAGAGTGAGAATCATGTCAGTCCAGGCTATATAGTAAGACCTTGTCTCAAAAAAAAAACCAAAACAAACAAAACAAACAAAGAGAAAAAATTGGATGTAGTGGCAAGATCATACTTCAAAATAGACCCGGACAGCCTTAGGTCTATGTTCTAGCAGTGTTTATAATTCCAGCCCAGTTCTCCTATCAAATACAAACAAAAAACAACAACAACAACAAAATGGCCCTCATGAGCTCATATGTTCAAACATTTGGTCTCCAGCTGGTGGAGCTGTTTGGAAAGGATTAGGAGGTGTGGCCTCATTGGAGGAGGGGTGTCACTGAGGCTGGGCTTTGAGGGCTTAAAAGCTCATACCATTCCCAGTATCCATCCCTGCTTCCCTCCCTCTCTCCCTGGAGCTTGTAGATCAAGATGTGAGCTCTCAGCTACTGCTTCAGCACCAAATCTGTCTGCTGCCACCATGCTCTTCCATGACAGTCACAGACTCAGTCTCAGAACTGTGAGTCCTAAATTGAATACTTTTGTCTATAAGTTGCCTTGGTCATCATAGCAGTAGAAAAATGACTAATATACCCTGCCTCACAAACAAGCTGAAAGGAGACCCAACTCCTCAACATTAGTGTGTGGTGGCATGTGTGTGCCCACACTTACACACAGAAATAAACACATCTCCAGAAAACAACTAAAAACTGGATAGAAACTAGACAGACCAGACTGGCCTCAGCTCAAGTATGCACCAGCTCCTCTGCCCCTGGTGTCCTTTCCCTTAGAGAAACTCAGTGAGAACCTAGCTGCTTGTCCTAGGGAGCACAGCTGGGTGGTGGCTGGGATGACTACACTTGATAGAAAAGAGGACTAGGGAACTTAGAGACAGCAGCCAACAGCAGGGCTAGGGACAACCCAGGAGAGCCCCAGCCTAGTAAGGCTGCCCTGTCCAAGACAAAGGGACCAACATTTCCTCAGGGAATCAAAAGTTTTATTACATGATGATCCCCAGTGTGGTGCCAGAGGTTCCGCTCTGGTCTCATTATTCCCCATGCTGGGGGTGGCTGACACTGGGGTGTAGGTGGAGGAGACAAGGGTGAACTGGAAAGGGGAGGGATATTTACAGTACAGAGAGGGAAAGAGGCCTGCATGGGATAGAGACAACCATTGCCTCAAGAGCTCTGAGAACTTTGTGCTTTGTTTTAGTTGGCACCGAGCTACCTGGAATGAGTTTTATGTTTATCTTCTTTAGGAAAAGATTTAAAGCAAAGAATAATCCAGCCCAATTTCCAGGCTGAGGATTTCATGATATCAATCCAAATATCACACTATTTAATTCCCCAATAAAACACTGGAAAAAAGACTATCAGTGCTAACACATTTACATACAAAATCTCCACCTAATAGGTAATAGAAGCCTATGTGCCATTTCTAAAACAGTTATAAGATATATACAATTTTGGGTATATTAACAAAACAGAATATTACAAAATATTAAAGGCAATTCTCCTGTCTGTGGGCCTTGTCACCTGTTACTTGAAGTTGGCATAGTCTGAGAAGGCATCGATGTACTCCTGCACCACCTTGTAGCAGAATTCATACTGTTCCTAAAGAATAAGCAGAAGTAGGAAGAAAACTAGTTACCAAAGGGACTGGTGAAGCCCAGCTTCTAATGGACCCCACTCCCCACTTTTTTTATTTAGACATCTCACTACGTGTCTTTGGCTGGCCTGGAACTCGCTATGCAGAGCAGGCTGGCTTAGAACTCACAGAGATCCACTTGCTTCTGCTTCCTGAGTGCTGAGAATAAAGGTGTGTATCACTACCATGGCCTAACAGACCCAGTTTTGGAAATGAAAAACTGAGAGAAAAAAAAAGAATGTTTGTGGACTTCAGTAGACCTACAGACAGCTGACTAGACATGTGAGAACAGTTCCAGGTTCTGCAGGGTCAGATGTAAGCATGCGAGGCTGAACATGGGGCATCTAGAGTGACTCTTATCATGCCCAGACTGCCAGGCTGAGATGAATCCTAACTCCAAAAGCTTCATCTCTCTCAGATCTCCTAAAACTCACACTTCCCCTCAAGCCTTTCTAGCTCCACAAGATTGGGGAAAACCTTTGTGGATATACAGACTGACAAGAGTCAGATCTCTGAACAGGAAGGCTAAGTAGAAAAAAAGGCAGGCACTCCTGCCCACTCCTTTCTACCAGAACCCAAAGCAGAGTACAGACAAAGCCCATGGGTTATTCAGGCATTCCTTTGCACATGTGTATGTGGATGAGTGCATGCATGTGTGATGTATACATGTGGGTATTCAGGTGTGGTTGTGCACCTGTAAGCCTGAGCATCAAGTAGGGCATCTTCCCCAACTGCTCTCATCTTAGTCCCTTACAGAGATCTTTCACTGAATTAGGAGATGGCTGTTTCAGCGAGGTTGGCTGGTTAGTGAGCTCTTGGGACCTGCCTGTGTCTGCCCTCCATGCTGAGGTTACAGATACAGACAGCCATCCCAGCCTTCTAGGTAGGTGCTGGGGATTTGAACTCAGGTTTACATGCTTGCAGAACAAATGCTGTTACCCACTGAACTATCTCCCCAGGCTCCAGGCACTTCCTTCTAACCTCTTCTATTTCTTCCGGTCACAGACTGTGCTCCCACTCTGACCCTGCTTCCCAAGGTACTTCCTGTCTTCTGACTATGAGGCTTGCTCCTGACAGGGAAGAGCTGTGGTTAGTGTGGTCACACAAAGATGTGTAGCATACCAGTGTCTGGACCATGTGTGGTCTCTGTAGCCGCAGGCTCTTGACAGTTTGGAAGACATCCAAAATTCCTTCTGCTTTCACGCGCTCCAGGACTGTGCTCAAGGCACAAAAGGTCCCTGTCCGTCCTGCCCCGGCGCTGAAACAGAGCAGATACACTTACCACACCTGCTGTCTGTAGCTGTCTATCCTGAGGGGCAAGTGTAGGAGCAGATGCAGGCTGAGGATGGTTCTGCAGATGAGTCATCCATGGAGCTGCCAGGGGAAGGTGTCAGTGGGACAGGAGACCCATGTTCACCTCTGCCCTCTTTGCCTGGGCTCTGTGAGAGCAAAGCTCTGAAGAGGTGAGAATGGAGTTTTGATGGCCTTCCTGTGTGCACCAAGGATGTGCTTGTGGGACATTCTCACATCCCCTGCCAGCTTGACTTCTTGCTGTCTATCTTCAATGACTAGGTTGTCTTCACCATTTGCTGACTCAAATTTTCGCCCTGTTATTTGGCGATTCCTTTCCATTCTTTCTAAGGGATCCAAACTTCCATCTTGAAATGATCCACTTTGTCCAAAATTACCAGCTGATTCTCTTACCAGATACTGAGTATCTGCTCTATGGCAGGGGCTGTGAGCTCAGTAGTCTTCCTAGGAACAGAGCTCCAGGTAGGATGCTCAGGGAAGGCTCTCTGAAAGGATGCTGCATGAGCAGACACCAAAGTGACAGTGATACACTATGGCTGGCTCTCTGGGAACAAGCTTCTTAGGGGAGGGAGGTGCCAAAATGATGCAGAAGGGAAGGGAGAATGGTAGGTATAGTATAGATCAGAGCCTAGGAAAATGCTGGCCTGGTATGCCTCGCTGACTAGCAAAGAGACCTCACATCATACTGGGTCTTGTTGGGATTCTAGGTAGGAATGGTCCAGTCTTACTGATCCATTTTGTAAAACAACCTGTATTTATTTGTGTATGAGGGGAGTGTGAGTGTGTAGACAGGCTGCAGGGTGTGGAGGCATGCACACACATAGTTTGCACACGGGGGTTAGAAGACAACTTTGACCTTATTGAGGCAGATTCTTGTTTCTGCCACTGTTAACACCAGGCTAGCTGGTCTGAGGGTTCCTAGCTCACTGTTGGAGTGCTAGGATTAGATGCAAGGATGCCACAGATGGCTTTTTATGTGGGTTATCAGGCTTGCTTTTACCAGCAGAACCATCTCCCGGACCCGAAGTCAGACTTGTTTCAAGATCTTAAGGTTGCTGTGTTAGCCATGGGGAGGACCAGACGGGAAGGTGGGGAGGAGAGAGGGAGGGGAGAAGGGAGATCTACCAGGAAACAAGTATGGGAGGAAAGGGAGCCTAGACTGAGGAGCTGTGGGGGAGGTAGTAAGTAATATTTGGGTTCTGAGAAGAGGAGGCAGGTAGAACAGGATTACTGATGGCTCAGATATGATGTGAAGAATGGGAGGAGAACAGGTTAGTTCTAAGCCTTCTTGCTCCCCCAACCATTGTCAAAATACTCTTTTCTCCTTTCCCATATTTCAGGAGAGCAGGCCCACACCCCCACATGACCTAGTCAGCCGGTCTCTCCAGTGCTGGCCTCTCTTGTTGTTCCCCTGAGTCATTCAGGATCTGAACATTATTAGCACTTCCTCAGCACATGCTGTGGGAATTCAGACTCCAACATCCCCTCTGATCACCCAGTTGTCCGGATCATCAAACACCATGGTGCTCAGCAGTACTCTGTTCTGTGTGTCTCCTCATGGCTTGACCACACTCACCATCACCCCCCCCCCCATTTCTTTGGGCTCCATGTGAGGGAGGGGCCATAGTACCTGCAGTGCACTGTGATGGGATGGTTCCCTGACTGCTGCTGCTGCTTCTGCACTGCTGCAATGATGTTGATCATGCCCTTCCCGTCACTGGGGATGCCCACCTCAGGCCAGCCGTGGAAGTGGAACTGTCGGATCTGCCGACTCTTGTTCTCCTTTGGAAGACAGGGGGTCAGGCAAGTAGTGGAAGCCTTACTTTTCCTGTAGGAGCAGTCCCACCCAATGCCCATCTTACCCTGGTGTTGGTGACCAGGAGGTCTCGGACAGTGTAGCTCTCACATTCCTCCTCCTTCTTCAGCTCAACTGTGATGTCTCCATAGGATACCAGGCCATCAGATGGCCAGTACTGGGCACACTTCTCCTGGAGGAGCAAATGAGAGAGCTATGTGAGGTCAGGGGCTGGCCTTGAACTCAAAAGAGATCATCCTGTCTCTGCATCCGGAGTACCAGGATTAAAGGCATGGGCCATCACCTCTGTTAAAAGGATGGTGATTTAATAAAGCCAGCCTGGGAAATACTGTGAGAATTTGAGGAAACAACAGGGCTGGGGATATAGCTAAGTTATCGAGCATATTTGTAGCCCTGGGTTTGTTTCCCAACATAGAAAAAAATAGTCATGGTGGTTTACACCTGCAATCCCAGCACTTGAGATGTGGGGGCAGGAAGATTAAAAGTTCAAGGTCATCCTTGACTCCACAGTAGCCTTGAGGCCATCCGGTGACACGGCAGATCTGATATATCATAAATACGTGAGATGAGGAGGAAGGGCTGAAACCAAGTTTGGAAACTATCTGTCACCACTTAAAAAGTCCTAAATTGTACATGTATGGGCATTTCTAGTAAGATCTCTACTAATTCAAGCAGGATTTTAAGATAAGGAGCGACATGATTACATTTTTAGTTTTCTAAAGGGCATCATTTGGCTGCTACATGAAGAATTAAGGTTTGGGCAGGGCATACAGGGTGGAGTCAGGCTACTCAAGGTGAGAACCTGTGCTGGCAGAATGCACGGGAGGCACTGCTGCCCCCCATGTCTGTACCTCACCATGTCAGAGATAATGTTGAATGCAGTGGTTAAGCTGTAGAAAAGTGGAATGCTCAGCAGCTATCAGGACTCACCAATAGAGACTGCATGCAGGGGCCATGTGACCCTACTCTAGGCTTGTGACAGGAGCAAATGAGTGAAAGGTGTATTTGTTTATTTAGATGGGGTGGTGTTTGCTCTCACATATGTGCAATCCATGCCCAGTGTCTCAGACTACTTCCTGTTGCCTATGTAAGATGTAGAACTCTCAGCTACCTCTCCATCACAATGTCTGCTTCATGCCACCATGTAGCACCATGATAATGGACTAACCCTCTGAGAATGTAAGCCATCCCAATCAAATGGTTTCCTTTATAAGAAAGAGCAGCAATAGTCACGGTATCTCTTCCCAGCAGCAGAAACCCTAACTAAGACATGGGTTCCCAGTTGAGTTATGAGTGATAATCCTCCTATATTTGCCTAAGTGCTGGGATTACAGGTGTGTGCCACTTTGCCAGAGCAAAGAGTTCTGTTTATAAAAGAACACCTATTCGATTATTATGTGTATGGATGTGCTATGGGGTATATATGGAGGTCAGAGAAAAACTTGCATGAGTTGATTCTGTCCTTTCACCATGTAGGACTTGGGGACAGAACTCAGGTAGTTAGGCTTAGGGGCAAGCACCTTCACCCACTGAGCCATCTCACTAAACCTAGAAGGCTTTTAAGAGATATACAAATTAGATTTGTCAAAGGCTCTTTCTGAAAAAAAAAATTAACTGGCGCTTTCATGCATATGTAAGTGTGTGTGCACGTGCGCACACACATGCTCACATGTACCAGCGTGTATAGGAGGCCAGATGGGCATTACATGTCTTTTTACTCCTCATTTAGTACTTTGAGGAAAAGCCTCTCCCTGAACTCAGGCTTTCATTTTCTTAATGAGGATGGAAACCAGAAAGCCCCAGTAATCCTGTCTCTGCCCACGGGAGGCAGGGTTACAGGACTGTGAGGAATTCCTGGCTTATTACATGGGTGCTGGAACCCAAAGCTGGCCTTCCTGAGTGTGCAGCAAGCACTACCTGCTGAGCCACCTCTCCAGACTCTCAAAGGCTCTCTGCTTTGGTATAAAGTCCTAACTCTTTACTATTGCTTAGAAATAACTGTTACCAGGCCACACTACTTCTCTGGGCTCACTCTACTGATTCTGATCCCTGCTAAGTGATGCGCCATGGACAGTGACTTACCTGTCTACTACCGTGCACAACCTTGACACAAAGAGGCTTCAAAAAAATAAGCACTATGGGAACACAGCCTGAAATAAGGGATGAAAGATGGTACCCTGAAATTGGGGGTGCCTGTAGAGGCTGCATGATGAGGAACAGAGTGGGGAGCATTTTCCTACACTGATGAGCTGATCTAGGGTATCTTTGAGGTCTCTGCATAGATGGAACGCCAGACAACACTACTTTTAAATTGGCCTTAAGTCTTTTTTGCCTTTAAAAGAAAATGACCTTAAACTTGTGCTTTGAAGCTGCTGGCCCAGCACTGGGGCCATTCTCTCTTCTTGTCTCTAGTTCTGAGGAAACCCTTGCTAATGAATTTTTTTTTTTTTTGAGACAGGGTCTCATTATGTGGCCCCAGCTATCCTGGAACTTGCTGTGTAGACCAGGCTAGCCTCAATCTCAGAGAATCTCTGCCAATATCTCGATAGTGCTGGAGTTAAAGTGTACAATTGTGAATCTGCTTGAAATCCTTTTTGTTTTTCTTTCACTTTACATTTATTAAACTCCATCATTTTCCTTTTGTGTAGTAATTATAAAAGGTGACCCTGTCTTAATAACATTAAGAAACTTCTACTTCAGAGCCCTGGCCTGGCTTGGCTATACAATTCTTTTCTCACTGGCTTTGCACTACCTGGGAAGTAGGATGGAGAGGGTATGAGCAAAGGCTAGTCTGAGGGGCTGGGTACAAGAGAAAAGTGAATGGTGGAAATGTCTGGAAATCAGCTGGAGGTTCAGGCTTCTCTGCTTTTCCAGTCCTGGAAGAAGCTGAGGACTTTAGATACCAACAGGCTGTTGATAGTCAGGACACCTCAAAGAAAGATCCAGGTATACAATACAGTCGCCCCCGACCTTTTTGTTTCTCATAGCCCAGGGGTCTGCTTGAGCTCACCTGGCCTCTCTCTTCTAGTTCTGTTAGCATTACGATGGAGCAGGACTTCCATTCCCAGATCATCCGCCAGAAGTCCTCAATTGTGTGGAGAAGAGGGCCCTGGCTGGCAATGTAGGAGTCTTTCTGCCGGTAGCCCTGTATGGGTCAGGTTAATCACAGAGGTGGCTTATCAAGGAGGGGTAGTGTAAAAGATAAGTGATAGGGACTGCTTGGAGGCACATGGATTCCAGAAAGAGCTCTTTGACCCATGGTCATACCGGGGGAAGGGAAGCAGGGTTATGGAGCTAGGAGGAAGACAGTACAAACAGGAAAGGTTAGATCAGTTTTAGATTCTTAGACAGGATTACATTATAAGGTCCTCATCTAGAAATATGTAGTGTGTTTCCTTTACATTCTGTTCTGTTGCTAGACAGGCCTAGTACTCAGGTTGGGTAGGTGGAAGTGGGTTCAGTAGCTGTTCATTGACTTAAAGAAGTTCTTCTCAAGTAGGTATGTGAGGGACAGATGCAGGGGACATACCCATCACTTACATCAATGAAGGATGCATTCACATAGTCTGTGTTCTCTTCACCTCGTTTAACTGGAATGATTACTCTGTTAAATTCATCTGCAAGGAGGACAATGAATGGCTTGCAGTTTACCAACATTCACTCCCCTTACCAATCTCATAAGTCAGTGGCACAAAGATATCAATTTCTTTTTGGCTTTTATGCTTTTTATTTTGTGGTTATTATTTCCTAAAACCACTAGGGAACTTCGAGAAACAAGAGGAAATGCGGTGACTCTTGATTTCAGGCCAATCACCAAACCTGAGAAGCTGCAGCAGTAAGACTGGGGGGGGGGGCACTTACATGGAATGATCTGTAAAACCCGGTTCTTCTTCATGTTGGCTGGAAGGTTTCCAGTACGCATCTTGTCATTCTGGATTTTGATTGAAGTTAACTTCTGAATGAAGGAAGAAGGGAGACACCATTGTTCCCAGAAAATGAACCTGAGAAGACTCTTGGCAGTCACTAGGCCTGTATGGGCAGGTCCCCTGACTGCATGCATTTCCTTTTCCCTATAGTGCTCTATCTCCATTCCCACATGTAATTCTTCTGTCTTCATGTTTAGTAGGAAGTCAATAGCATTTGAAAAGCAATGCCTTCTAAGCTTCTGTGGAACCTCCTTAGATTCCTCTGGCCTTGAATTTTTTGGGTTACTCTTCTGCTGTTTAGAAAAATATTCAAATTGTATTCTTCCTTCCTGGTTCTGAGGTTGCTTCCTTGTGTATATGGGTGTGTTGTGTGTATGGTGCGGTGTATGCACATGTGTGTACATATGGAGGCCAGAGGTTGACATTGGACATCCTATTATATCACTCCTCACATTTTTTTTTTTTTTGGTTCTTCGAGACAGTGTTTCTCTGTTTTCTTTTGGAGGCTGTCCTAGAACTTTCTCTGTAGACCAGGCTGGCCTCTGCCTCCCAAGAGCTGGGATTAAAGGCGTGCACCACCAACAGCCGGCTCTCACCTTACTTTTTGAGATAGGGTCCTCTCACGGAACCTGGAGCATGCTGCTGCAAACGGTTGGTTGGACAGGCAGTGACTGTCCCTTTCCTCACCTGTTTCCCCAGGAGTTGGGTTACAGGCACACCCTACCATGCTTAGTTCTGTCTCTCTCTCTCTCTGTCTCTGTGTGTGTGTGTGTGTGTGTGTGTGTGTGTGTGTGTGTGTGTGTGTGTGTGTGTGTGTAACAGTCCTGGCTGTCCTGGAACTCGCTTTGTAGACCAGGCTGGCCTTGAACTCAGAGACAGAAATCTGCCTGCCTCTGCTTCCTAAGTGCTGGGATTAAAGGTGTGTGCCACCACCATCCACCCCAAAAGACCTTTTGATCTGGCCTTTACATTACTGTACATTATAATCATCTAGGAGTGCTGAGGGACTTAAAGAAATACTACTTTCTATTAATTTTTCTTAAAGACAATTAAAGACTATACATTTCTGACCCACTTGACTACCACTGGCTGTGGTACAACAGACTTAGCATTTTTCCTAGATCTATTTTTTCCAGACTGTGTGGTTCCTTTAGTATGGAGGTTGCCCAGCTTCAACTCACCTTAAACTCCTCCTCTAATCCATTGTTGCTAGTCCCTGGGATCTTGTTATAAATTTTTTGCAGGTGGGTTTCCAGAGAAGTCACTTCCAGCTCTGTGTCCCCGTACAGATAATGTTCCAGAAGAGCCTGGTATATGAAGACGTACTGCATCTGAAATACAGATCACACAGAGGCCTGTTACCAACAGCGTGGCCCTGGTGGCACCAGATCACTCCTAGTGTCATCTTTACGAAGTCTATTTCTCCTTTGATTTTAGCAGGGATTAACGTGATCTATTCACACAATGAAGCAGAACTTGAAAGCATGAGCTCCCACGGGTGCTTAGCTTGGGAGACAGGGTCCTAGATTGCCAGACTCCACTGTCCAAAGAGTCTGTAAGGAACTGGACACACACAAAGACTGTGAAAGTCTGCAAGGTCTTAAGACTCCAGCCTGCCTCCACCCCACGTCTGTGCCATGACCACAGAGTCCATCTCACTTTTGCTCTTGGACTTGGCTGCATCATTCATGCATTTATTAACAAAGATTCCCTTATCCATAAGGTCCAGTGGAAAGAACAGATGCCTTCCTATTTCCACTAGCCATAAAGCTACAACCTCTGCTATGTGTTATTTCAATTTCTTTCACTTTTTGTTTTGTTTTTTGTTTCTTTGAGATAGGGTTTCTATGTGTAACAGCCCTAGGTGTAGACCAGGCTGGCTCAAACTCAGAAATCTACCTGCCTCTCCTCCCAAGTGCTGGAATTAAAGATGTGTGCCACCATGCCTGGCACTTTATTTCTTTTTAAAAATATTTGTATTTATTTTATGTGTATGAGTGTTTTGTATCATGTATGTATAAGTACCCTGTGCATGCCCAGTGTCCACAGAAGCCAGAAGAGAGTGTTGGATCTCCTGGAATTGGAGTTATAGATGGCCAAGTGCATGCTGGGAGCTAAACGTGGATCCTCTGGAAGAGCAGCCAGTGCTCTTAACCATGGAGTTACAGCTCCAGCTCCCATGCTTGGTTTTTTAAAGTATGTGGCAGAAGGAAAGAACTAACTTGCAATTTGTCCTCTGACCAACACATATATTCCATATTACATGCATGTGTGCATGCACATGCATACACACTATGTGATGTTCATGTGAACTTGAATCCTCAGAGTAGGCAGATGTCCTGGCATTGGAAAGCCCTTCCCTTGCCATATCCACGGATCACTCACGTCTGTCTGTACCATCTGGCAGCGCTGGGCCCGGATCCGGCTCACAAAACCATAGACATCCACTTTCCGTTCTGAATGCATCATGTCCAGCATGGCATCGATGACAACAAATGTACCAGTGCGCCCTACACCTGCACTGTAGCCAGAGAGCATCAGGTTAGTGGATGACAGGTATAACTTGTGGGAGCAGACAGGGAAGGGTGGCATAGCCTCAGGCTTTCTCCAAGCAGCTAAATTCTAATTTCCAATGGGGCAGAGCTGGCACTGCCCTAGAGCCAATAACCCTACTGTGCTAGGAACTCTGGGTCTCTAGTTATAGGGGCCTTGTTACCCCGATACTTATAAAGGTCTCAAGGTGGCAAGGGTACAGAGCCAGCACTTGACCCATTCAATTGGCTTCACATCTGAGTCTCCACTCCTACCCTTGGAGGCCTGCCCTCCTAAGAAAAAAGGTACATTACCTCCAACAAATATGAAAGCAAAGTACATTTTATCTCAAGTACTGTCAGGAGGATATACTGAAAATAATGGGGACCAATGAACAAATTCTCCTAACCCTGCATACACTGCTCTTACAGGTAAGATACAGTCTCTGGCTCAAGTCTTCCTTCACGGTTATTTTAGAACTACAGTGAGTTGCCTGACTCCCCTCCTTTCCACAAGTCACATTTTCTACCCCAGATTAGAACTAGAGGATTCTATCTGGCTGTTGCCTGGGGTCCCAGCTATGCATTTCTTCAGTGTCAGCCTCCTTAGTCAGGGTCCCTGTGCTGTTTTCTTGCTTTGTCCAAGGGGGCAGAAAGTGGGCAAGGGTCAGGCCACACTGACCTGCAGTGGACCACGATAGCCCCTGCATACTGAGGGTTACAGGCTTTCACCTTCTTGAGGAACTTGAGCATGCCAATTGGGGTGAAAGGTACCCCAAAGTCTGGCCAGCTGGTAAAATGGAACTGAGTGATGAGGCGCTGTGGTTTTCTGTTGGTCATGTCGCCCACCTGTGAAGTGAGAAGATTCTGTGTGTTTGTTCTGATAGCCAAGGGAGGGCAGCACAAGGGCAGGGAAGGTGTAATAGTGGTTGTCAGGATGATGGAAATGTGAGGGGCCCCCAGACAGATGGAGAATCCTCCCCACACAGTAGGCCCAACTGCTACTGTTACTCTTGGTCTACAAATGAAGGTGAAACTCAGAACTAAATGAGCTGATGTAAGCCCAAGAACTGTTACAGTAGACAGCAGGGTCAGACTCAATGCAGGGCTCCTGGTTCTTTTTTGGGGGGGGCAGGATCTCACCATGTAGACCAGGCTGGTCTCCTAGTCGAGAACCTCCTGCCTCTGCCTCCCAGTGCTGGGCTGGGATTAAAGGTGTGCATACTATCACACCCAGCAGGGTTCCTGATTCTTGATAAATCCTCTTTTATTGCACACAACCCTCAACTCCAGCTCAGGCTTCCAGGGTCACTCTGGAAGGCTTACAATAGTCTCAATACAACCTTGGAGATACAAATCTTTATAGAGAGGTGGACACAAGACCCAGAAGACTGCCCGCTTCCTGAAGCCTCTTTCACACGTCTGGCACCTGAACAGGTCCTTTACTTCCCAGCCATAAAAACTTTGCTCATTTAGCTTTGACAGAGTAGTTCCTAGAGGTCAGGATTCACACAGATCACATACTATGCAATTCCTGATACCCTGAGTAAGAAGGGGGACAACCCAGCCCTTCCTGGCCTTAAGGGTCAGCAGATCCTACTAAAATGCCTGGAGAGGACAGAAGACGGTACCTGCTGGATGCAGAACTTTCGTACTGTGTAGTCCACCAGCACAGTCACGTCCTCGACAGACACACGGACATTTCCATAGGTCCAGCAGCCTTGGTCTGGCCAGTATTGGGCACATTTACACTGTGAAGAAAACAGACACACATCTCTCATGCAAGACTGTCCTGGCAGATGTAAAGGGCCTGAGAGAAAGGAGCCCAGAAAGGCTGTATCTCCTGTCACCAACATTAGCTAACAGGTTTAGTCACTGTAACTTCCTTTCCCTTCACTGTGACCAGCCTCAGTCACAGACCTGTCCATCTTTTCCACTCCTACCCCTCGGCTCAAAGCAAACGAAAACTGTTTTACCTGCAACATCCAAACTTCCACAATCTCCCAGGTCAGGCCTTAAGGGTAGGCAAGCCTGTGTGATGGAGGGATTGGCAGTTTGCTAAGACAGAGCTACTGCAGTGCACTCATACAGACTTGGCTTGTTATAAACCACGGTCTTCCTGTTGGCTGAGGCCTAACAGCTTCCAAGAGCTGAAGGCCTGCTTAAGCATACTATCATGAAACCCACCCCCAAAGCACTCTTTCTCTTCCTTCTCCCGCCCCACCCCCGCCCCTTTCTGAGACAGGGTTTCTTTGTGTAGCCCTGGCTGTCCTGGAACTCACTCTGTAGACCAGGCTGGCTCTGAACTCAGAGGTCTGCCTGTCACTGCCTCTGCCTCCTGAGTGCTGTGATTAAAGGTGTGTGCCACCACCACTTGTTCCAAACTACCCTTCTAAGCACTGTGGGGCTGCTGAGCAATAAACCCAAAATCCCACAATGGGTCAAGGTGACAGAAGGTCCATCCTTGAGAAAGACTGAATGAGGATTCATCTCTGTGGGTTGATCTATGGCCCAGTGTAGTGGTTTGAATAAGAATGGCCCCTATAGGGGCTGGAGAGATAGCTCATTGGTTAAGAACAATGGCTACCCTTCCAGAGATCTTGAGTTCAATTCCCCGCAACGACATGGTGGTTCACAACCATCTATAATGAGTTCTGATGCACTCCTCTTCTGGCATGCAGGCTCTATGTGTAGATAGAACAATATAACGCATAAAATAAATAAATCTTAAAAAAAAAAAAAAGAATGGCCCCTATAGGTTCATATATTTGAATGCTTAGTCAGCATGGAGTGGTGCTACTTGAGAAGGATTAGGAGGTGTGGCATTGTTGGGGGAGGTGTGGTCTTGCTGGAGGAAGTGTGTCACTAGGTGTGGGCTTTCAGGTTTCAGAAGCTCAAATCAGGCCCAAGTGCTCCTGCTGCCTACTGATCCAGATAATGAACTCTGTTACTTCCCAAGCAACACACCTGCCTGTGCCACCATGATGGTAATGGATTAAACCTCTGAAACCATAAGCAAGCTCCAATTAAAAAAAGCTTCCTTTTATAAGAGATGTCTTGGTCATGGTGGTGTCTCTTCACAGCAATAAAACAGTGACTAAGTCACCCAGGTTTGGCACTGGCTATGGCTAAAGAGCTGGTCAAGCCACAAAGAAAAGGAGCTATTGGAAGCTGCCAGCAGGACTTGTGTAAGCTTCAGTTTCGTTGTCCTTCTGCTGGCCACACCCTCATCAGGGGCTCTGCTAGTTCATATGGCTCCTTCTATTAGCTTGAGGGGCTTCTGCAGGAAACTGAGGGAATGAGGGACTAGAGAAGCCAAAGGGGAAAGTCCATTTTCCTTTCTAGCTAATGGCACACTTCTTCCTTTCTGGTTACTTTGGAACCAGAATGAGCTGTTTTAACATCAGACATGGTAACGTGCCATGGACACCAGTATCCCCTGCCCTGAGATTCCTTGGACGTTTCCAGGCTACAGGAAGAGACACATTAGCCTGTCTGGATGATCTATGAGTATAGTAACCAAAAAGGAAGGCAGCTAAACTCAAGCTTAGAGCTCCAGCACGGCAGACCTTTACCAGACTTGTCTTGCTTCTAAATTTCCAACTTACCTCCTTTCTCTCCTTCAGGTTAGTCACCATAACGATGGTAGCTGTGTTTTGTTCCCAGATCATTCTCCAGAAATCATTCACTGTTTCTTCTTTTGGTCCTAAAGTAACCAAGAGTGAAGATTGGAAGAGAAAAAACAATGCTAGGAAACTGAGAATACTCCTTCCTGAGTTTTGGAATTTTGTTTCTACATATCTTTGGGGGAATATCCACCCTATTTATCCATTCATCCACCTGCTAATTGAATATTTCCCATGTATCTGCCATGTATGTACCAGACACTTCATTAGGATTGTGGGCAGGAGACTTCCAAATAGGAAAGAGTACAATGATTTTCTTAGTGTTAAGAATCAGGGTTAGTCCTGATTGCTTACTGAATATAGTTTAGACTACAAACCAAGTACTGGTTACTCTGTCTTGTCATACTCTAGAGTGAGTGACCTCCTCAGGCTGGGATTCAAATTTACTTTCCATATAGCCTTTCTCAGAAAGCCATAAGAAGTTTCTAAACAAAAAAGAAGCTGTACACAATGAGAGAAAGAAGGGTTTTAACAGCTAAGAGGCCAGAAGAATTCTCAGGGTAGGGTAAACAAAAGTCTTTGCAACCAAACTGCCAGGGGTTAGGGATACTAGATCTGCTATGGAATGAAGGTTTTAGGAAACTCCCCAAATGCACTTAAAACAATTACAGCTCAGTGATTAAAGTTGCCTGCAGCCAAACTTGATGATCTGAGTTCAATCACTGGGACCATAGCAGAAGGAAAAAACAACTGTTCAAAGTTGTCCTTGACCTTCACATGTATTCCATAGCATGTGTGAGCCATCTCTCCAGCAAAGGACTTTCTGATACTAAGTCATCAGGATGAAAGTCACTGGTTGTAAACCTGTAGGATGTATTGTCTGTCTGTCGTCTGTCTTTCTGTGTCTGACAGTATGCATTCAGGTGTTCATGTGTGTTTGTGTGCATGCGTGTATTTCTGTAGAGGTGCATGTGTTTGCTTATGGGGGTAAGAAATGAAATTAGGGTTTCCTCAATTGTTCTCCTCTTATTTATTTTTTTGAAGACACTTTCTCACTAACCTAGAACTTGTTAACTAGAAAGGCTGGCTAGCCGGTAAGTCTCTAGGATCTTTCAGTCTGCCTCTCCAGCATACTATCATGCCTTTTAATACAAGAGCTAGGAATCCAAATTCAGGTTTTCATGTTTGTGTAGCAACCACTTCACCAACTGAGCCATTCTCTCAGCCCCTTATATTTCTTTTAGGTGGTAATAATTAGAGAAAAGCTACTGTATTTTTATTATTTCATTTAGTATTTGGGCAAAATCCCCTACCTTCAAGCCACTATGGGACCATGGTTAAAGTCCAAGAAGAAAAAAACTGGCATTACCTTGTGCGGCAATGAATTTGTTCTTTTCTTGGTAGCCCTGGGTGGAAAGGGAGGAAAAAGAAAAGTGAAACCCCAAAGTTGGCAGGAATGATACTCTCCAGTTGGCATCTCAGTCAGTTAACAAAGCCTCCCCTGTAAAAGGTCTAGGCAATTCACAAGAATTTCCATTACAGAAATCCCAGACAGGTTAGCTTTGGAGACAAGAATCAAAGATTATAAAACTCAAATGGCCTAGGTAGCCTTCTCAAGGTGAATTACTAGTGAATACTGGGAGAGTGTCTAAAGACTAGCCTCTGGTCTAGACCATTTCTGACACTTTACCAGTAGCCAACAATGTGGGTTTTAGTGTTAATGGGGTAAGACCTTCCAGGGACAGAGCTGGGCTGGAACTGGGAAGGACAAAGCACTTTCTCTTGAGGACATTTTTACTTAGATGTAAAAACTTTTCAGAAACAGCTAGGTTTGACAATGAACTTCTCCATTAGTCAGTGGGCAGCAAGAAGCAAAGGAGACTAGGGATCCCACTGGAACAGATAAGGAGACTCTGAGAGACTCTTACCGGATAGGGACTTTCTTTTTTTCTCTGTGCAGACAGCAGTAAGACGGGCAATGGGAAGCTGTCTTGCTGGGACACCACGTCTCACCAACGTAGTGGTAAAATCAAAGAAAGGACCTAAATCTGAGAAATCATTTTCTAGTCTAGTTCAAACAAGGGCAGAAAAGTTGCTTCCTAGCTGAGAAGAAAGCATTTAAAATCAGCAATAGCAGGCTTCTTAAACATTTTTTTGAGAGGAGGAGTTTACTTTTCAGAAATGTTTTTCTCTCTTTGGTTGTGAGCTAAGCCTTTAAGGGCTGAGCCATCTCTCCAGCCCTCCAGAAATCTTTTTAATCATCATCACAACATGAAAATCAAGACAGCCTTAATTCAGGATGCTTAATTCTGCTTCAGTTCTAAACTTGTAATTAAAACTGATGAGAACATCAGTTAACTCTTAAGAAACATGTTAAGCACATCATACTCCTGGCTTCAAAAAAAGCCACTGTTAAATTTTCAGTGAAACACAAAGAGCTTAAAAATCAACACAAACATACACATAGATGTGGAAGTCTGCCACAGAGTGTTTCCTACTCTGTTTTTACTAAGAGTACCCACAACAATCACCTCCTAATCAATAAAGCCTAACAGAAGGAATAGAAGGTAAAGCTCCCAAGGGAAGGAGGAAATGTGGCTCCTTGGCTCCTGCATTGCCTCTGGGCTCTGAAACCTGAGTCCCAGCTGGGTGGGTGGGTATGTATGTATGTATGTATGTATGTATGTATGTATGTATGTATGTATGTATCTTCCCAGTAGAGAGAAACACTCTGAAAGACCTGCTATATGCCCTCAGGCATCTAAAGATAAAGAGAGGAGTTAGTTCCTTCTAGTCTGGACTGGAGTCTCCTGTCAATGTGTCAATCAATGGCTGTGTTTCATGAAGTTCTGTGATCATTACCAGGTGAGATAACCCTTGTGTTCCCTAGAATGTAGATTCCATCTTCTGCTGTTTCTATCACCACTCCAGGGTCCCTGGGACCATTTCCCTTCCCTCAGGCATTGACCCACAGTGGACTGGACACATTAGCCAAGCTTACTTGGTAGCAAGTTTTCTTATCTTGTTCTCCCTTATTTTTACTACTGAGGGTAAAGCCTGCTTTTGTTTGTAGCATTTGAAAATGCTCAAAAAAGCATTCAAGAAACATACATCTGGATTCTGGAAAGCTTAGTAAAACCTTAGGAAATGATGAAAGAATAAACAAAATACATTTTAAATTACCCAATATTACTTAAAAAATCAGATTGGTGGCAATCTTTCTCTTACAACATGGCTAGGAAGAAATCACTAGAAGGCAGCCTATAGCTTTTCATGGGATAAATAGGAGAGGCACAAGTTCCTTACATTAATGAATGAAGCATTGATGTAATCAGAATCTGGAACCCCTTCAACAGGTGTCAGGTGCACTCTAGAGTGGTCATCTAGAAAAAAACAAGTGAGAAGTTCACATTCAATAGATCCAATTTTGTTTCTTACTGTCCCTGATGCAGATTAGCTCAGATACCTGTGTCTATGTGACTGAGACATGACATTTTAGTGCTCTTTGTTTCTTTGTTTTGTTCTGATTTGGTTTTTTGAGACAGGGTTTCTCCATGTAGCCCTGGCTGTCCCAGAACTTACTTTGTTTGTATAAAGGCTGGCCCTCGAACTCCGAGATCCAACTGCTTCCTGAGTGTTGGGATCAAAAGCTGCCACCTGACTCTCTGATTTTGTGGGTGTTTTGTTTGTTTGTTGTTTTTGCTTTTATATAGTCTTACTTTGTAGCTTAGGCTAACCCAGAACTCCCATTGTAGCCTGGGCTGCGTGGAGCTCACGGCAATCCTCCTGCTTCAGCCTCCATGAGTTAGGTTTATAGGAGTAAACAACTGCACCTGGCCTTTGATTGTACAAAACTTTATTTTTACATTTATTTTCTGTGCATCTGTGTATGAACACATGTGCTTGTGGAACTCAGCAGACAACATAAGAGTCAAATCTCTTCTCTAATGAGGATTCTAGGGACTGAACGCAGGTCACTAGGCTGGGCAGCAAGTACCTTTACCCTCTGAGCCTCCTTGTGTCTCCAATACCTGACCTTTAAAAATGTTAGTTAGTCTTAGCACTCAGGAGATAGGGGTAGGCAGATGTGAGTTTGAGGTCAGGCTGGTCTATACAGTGAGTTTCTGAACAGCCAGGGCTATATAGAGAAACCTACTCTCATTTTTTTTTAAATTTACAACTCTGGCAAGGAGTTATTGTTAGGTTCAAAGTGGGCCCCCAAAATGGCAGTGCTGTTGACAATGTCCCAGATGAAAATCTGGGTAAGTAACAGAAAGACTGCTACTTAAGCTCAGCATTCCTCAGAAAGTTGGTTTCTGTTAGGAAAAGCCATTATCTGATCCCTATAAACAGCCACCTCTGGCAATGGGCAACTAATTCTGGAGTAACTCACATAAGCCTGTAGGAGATCAATGTCCCCACCCTAGCTTCCAGGCTATTGTGGCCATATCCTACTTCCCACTCCACTAACTCCCAGGCTGTTCTGATTTACAGGCCCCTCCACCACTCACTACCTGCTTCCCTTAGAACTAGCAAGGCTTCTCCCTGCTCTTATTGTTTTCTCTGAACCCGAGAGACAGCCTCAGCAGCAGTATGAGTCACCAGTAACCTTTCTTTCTACCACTGGAGTGGTTTAGCTCAGTGGTTTCACTGTGCCCTTGCTTAGAGCTAAAAGGCAAATTTTGTATTATAAGTTGAGTAATTGATGTGTGTGTGTGTGTGTGTATAAAACACAACCTACTTTCTGCCTAGTCCCATGAAGCTGCCCTGCCTGGTCTCCAGAAACAGGCCAGCAAAACAAACTGTGATCCATAGCATAGTCCCACCTGATTGTAAGGTTGCCTGGGGTGGGGGTGGAGGCTATATATGCTATTTCAGCCTTAAGGACAAACCATATTCTTCTCTTTGCCCTCCTGTTACCAACCCCAGATCCTCCCCATCTTCAAAGAATCTATCTAGAGATGTAGTTCACATTCCAGGAAACCCTACAAACACTCACAGGGCAGGATGTTTACGTATCGATTTTTTTCCTTGTTTTCCTCCTTGGAGGCAGCCTCACAGGTGGCCTGGATAGGACAAGCAGGGAGAGCCTGAAAAGTTAAGAGAAATTTAAGGAGTTACTAAAAGGGATAAATATCAAGCAGACCCTGATCTAGTAGTAAGTTCTGTCTTTTTTGGGGAGAAGGAGGTACAGAGAAGAGGAGGGGAACATAGACCTGGGTGAGCAGGTGCAGCCTAATGCAGAAAATTCACCTTTCTCCTACATAGCTTCAAGCCTTAAAAATTCAATACCAAGAAGCCACAGGGAGAGGATGCATGCTTTTTAGATGATTATTATTTAGTTAAAGGCCTATTACAATGCAATTAAAATGAACTGCCCTGTAAACTGGGAGTGGGAATTATAATGGGGAAGAAAGGCCATTTATTTATTTGTTTATTTATTTATTTAACCATTACGCAAAGACAAGATGAAACTCAAGAGTGAACTACTCTGGACAGTCTGCTGGTGCACAGCCTCTTTAGGGTCTGTCAGAGACAAGGCACCCTCCCATGGGCGTGGCAGCAGGGAAGCTGAGGTGCTGGATCAGGTGGTAAGAATGGTCATCACTTTTGGAGCAACTGTAGCATAGCTGGCACAGGGAGTGATTTAGGTAAGCATGAACTGTCTTGACACGAGACAGCCTAGATGTACGACCTTGAGTAAATCTGCTAACTTTCTCAGCCTGTGTCACCTCACCTTCAACACTGAGAGGATGCTTTCCACACAAGGAGTTAGATGATATAATGTCATGTGTGGTACAAAGGCAGATTTCAAGAAATGAATTTTATGAAGGTGTGATGCTGAATTTTTTAACTTGGATAACTGTTCAGAAGAATGATAAGAAAGTTTCTGTGAGCTTTAAAAATAGTCTTATCTTTTGATGCCAGCAATTCTACTTCTGAGAATTTACTCAAAGAAAACAAAGTGCCTATGTGAACTCATTTCCTTCATCATCCTTAGATGAGTCAGCACTAAGAACAACCCATAGTCTTCAGCAGCAGGGACCAGTGAAGTACATTACAGTTCACGTATGGCTTTTCATTCATTTTTCTAACATATAAATGTTGTGCACCTATTGGGCTAGGTATACAGGAAATAATGCTGAGAAAAACATACATAGTTCTTGCCCACAATATAAACGTGTGGGCTACATCAATACAAGTAAATGACATATAGCATGATAAATGTAATGAAAAGCAGAATGCTATCAGAAAAAGTATCAGGCTCAGGTGATAGTGGTGCATGTCTTTAATCCAGCACTTGGGAGGCAAAGGCAGGCACATTTCTGTGGGTTTGAGGCCAGTCTCTACAGAGTGAGTTCCAGGACAGCCAGACTGTTTCACAGACAAACCCTGTCTCAAAAAACCATATGTAGACGAAAGGTAGATGTCTATGTGGAAGGATGAGGTACCTGTTAAATCCAGAGACAGGAGAAAGTGCCCAGCACAAAGAAACTAGTTTACATGATGAAGATGAAGACTACCTCTGGTTGCTACTTGGAAAATAAGAGTGAAGAGAGGCAAGAATCAAAGCGTGGAATATAAACAGTAAAATGACGTGATAGCTTGAGTAAGCATGGCCTCCATAAACTAGGTGTGGTGGTGCACACCTTTAATCCCAGCTCTCCAGAGGCAGCGGCAGGTGGATCAGGGTTTGAGGCCAGTCTGGTCTACAAAGGGAGTTGCAGGGCTGTTACACAGAGTAACCCCGTCTCGAAAACAACAAACAAACAAAAAAAGAATGCCCCCCCCACAGACTAATATATTTGAATGCTCAGTCTCCACTTACGATGCTTAGTGGCACTATTTGAAAGGATTAGGAGGTGCAGCTTTGTTGGAGGAAGTGTGTCACTGGGTGCCAGGCCCAGGCTCTCTTTTAGACTCTGGTGCCTGCATGCATGCCATCATGCTCCCCACTATCATGATAACGGACTAAGCCTCTGCAACTGTAAGCAAACCCCAGTTAAATGCTTCCTTTCATAAGTTGCCTTGGTCATAGTATCTCTTCACAGCAATAGAAAGGGACTAAGGTAGATGGCAATAGAAGGAAGTGGTTGCATCTGAGATATATTCTGGAGTTAGAATCATTGCATTTGAAGATGGAAGGAAGGGACGGTAGATTGTGGGAACAAAAAAAGAATGAAGGAGAGCTCTCAGTTTTCTGACTTTGTAAATAAAATAAGAATGATCGAATGAAGGAAAAGTTGGCTTTGGGGCAATTAGTTTTGCCAGATGAGAAGTGGAGGAGGGAACAAGGCTATTTCCTGGGACTTGCATGACAGAGATGTAAGTTATACTATGAATCTAAAGGCAAGGGCAATCAGTCTTACAGGCTACTTACTCCTACCTGACACAAGAGAATTCAGAGTTCAAAGCCTGGACACTCTGCATGTTACTTCACTAAGATGGGCAATTCTCTTTGACTCTGTGCTGTCAGCACATGACAATAAATCATTTTTCCTTTCTGCGTGTCAACTCTTGGATATAGAACAGAGAACATATCTAATACTGGACTTCCCTAATTCCCTTATACTTCATCTTCTTTCATTAGGCTAGGTTTCCACCCCACATAGGACAGGTGAAATGCCAATTTTTTTAGTCCCTAGACTAACCCTTTTCTAAGATTCCAGAACATTTCTTTTTCTAAATGATAGCGAGCAGAGGGAGTGAGAGAACGAGATTATTGTACTAGCAAAGTCTGGATTTGAATTTACTACGTTAACTGAAGATGACTTTTAATCCAGGATCCTCCTGCCTCCACTTCCAGAGTGCTGAGATTAAAGGACTGCCACTATGCTCCATTTGATGGGGACTGAGTCCAGGGCTCTGTACACAAAACAAGTAGTCTTCCAACTGGGCTATATCCCTAGCCCCCACAGAACAATCTTTAATATGGAAAGGTAAGGAATGACAATTGTTGCTACCTCACGATCCATTCAGGCAGGACCACCCCAAGCATAATAAAATACTAATCTGCTTTTCTTTTAGCTCAGCATCATGTTCTGTGCTGGATAGTTTTGTGTCAACTTGACAAGTCATCTGAGAGAAGGGGAACCTCAGTTGAGAAAATACCTCCGTAAGTTATGGCTGTAGGCAAGCCTGTAGAACATTTTCTTAATTAGTGATTGATGGAGAAGGGCCCAGCCCATTATGAGTGGTCCAGCCCTGGGCTGGTAGACCTGGGTTCAATAAGAAAGCAGGCTAAGCAAGCAATCCATGGGAAGCACACTAGTAATCATCACTCCTTGGCCTCTGTACCAGCTACTGCCTCCAGGTTCCTGCCCTGTTTTGAGTTCCTACCTTGACTTCTCTCATTGATGGACTGTGACAAAGAAGTGTAAGCTAAAATAAATCCCAAGTTGATTTGGTCATCGCGTTTTATCGCAGTGGTACCAAGGCATGTTTCTGAAGTCATTCAGACTGTCGGTTGTAATTGGCATTTGTTCTTTTTAATAAATGACAGATACAGTTCTGCTTTCGTCTTTTAAAACATTATTTGCTTTAGTTTTATTCACATATACGCACGCCTAAGTATCTCTCTCTCTCTCTCTCTCTCTCTGTGTGTGTGTGTGTGTGTGTGTCCGTGTGTGTGTGTGTGTGTGTGTGTGTGTGTGTGTCCGTCCCTAAAGAGGCCAGAAGATGGCACTGGATCCCAGACAGCTGGAGAGGTGGTTGTGAGCTGTCTGACTTAAGTGCTAGGAATGGAACTCAGGTCCTCCGCCAGAGTATTATGAACTCTTGATGGCTGAGTCATCTTTCTAGGCCCCAGACTGCTTTTCAATGTGACTATGCCTAATTACACCACCAGCTGTGACAGAATAGGTTCTATTTGTTACCTTCATCCATCCACATCTGCTACTGTCATACTTTAAATATATTAACTATAGCCATACCTTGCATTTCTATATTACCAACAGGGTCATCATCTTTCCAGTTTACTGGATGAAGGGTTTCCTCCTCTATGTAGTGCCTCATCTAATGTTTCTCATTGTTTTACTGGGCTGTGATTTTCCTTTTATTTCTTTATTCTGGATACTTACTGATCACAGTTATCTGTTAGCTTTCATTTTCTTTCATGGTCTCTAGTTACTAACAGAACTTTTGTATTGCATGTAGTTAAATTCACCAATCTTTTACTTAACCATCATTTTCAGGTTTGAGAAATCCTTTCTTATGTGAGGTCATAGGTGTATTGTCCTATATTATTTTCACATTTTACAATTCTGTCCTTTAAACTTCGATATTTATGCCAAATGGAGTTGGCATTTGTGTCTATATGAGACAAATGGCCCACTTCATTAACTCTCACAGGACTGTCCAGTTGTCCCAGTACTATACATTCCAAAGGCCATTCTTTCACCACAAAGAGGCAGCAGCATTTCTGTGACAACTCTGTTTCCATTTATACATGGGGTCTGCTCTTGGTATTTACTGCACTGCTCAGCCTATCTATCTACCCAGTGCCAACACCAAACTGTCTTGTAAGAGCTCTTTGTGTGTGCCAAGGCAGTTCTCCTCACCTTGTTCTTCTTCTTCTTCGGGATTGTCTTGACTAGTCTTGACTCTTTCCTCCTCCATATAAATTTTAGAATCAGCTTGTCAAGCTCCACAAAAAGCCTGTTGGGATTTTTATTGGAATTGCATTGAATCTGTGTGTCAGTCTGAGAACTGCATCTTCACACGCTGAGCTTCCTACCCCAGAGACTTATTTCTTAACTAGTGTGTACAAATATTCATATAATTTTCTCTGAAGATTTTACAAATATTTTGTTAAGTTTATTCTTAAGGACTTTATATCTTGGATACTAATATAAGTGATATATTTAAAAGGTATTAGATTTTTATGGCCTATATACAAAGATTAATTTTTATGCTGCCTTTATATCTGATTTATTTTCTGAGTCTGGATGTTTCTGAAGAAAGTATTTGTAGTAAAAATTTATTTTATCTTTGACTTCTTAATCCTTCCTTCTTGTCTTGCTTCCCTGTTCTTGCTGAAGTCTCAGTTCCGTGTCACTGCCAAATCTCCCTTCAAGGACTCTCACCTCAGTCACCAGCTCCCTCTGAGGTCATTTATAAGTTCTATCTAAAAGAGCACAACAACCAGATACATAATCTCTTCTGCATTTTCCTTGCACTAAGTAATACACACCCAGATGTCAGAGTTCCTGTTCCCCTTCCAGAGTGTAGCTATGGTGAGAACCCAAAGCCCTTGCCACGATTCTTGTTCATTTCCATGGGGTTTTAGCTCATCAAGGTAACTCAAATGTCCACTCAGTCCTATTACATGATATGCATATCTTCTTTATATGGTACTCTAAAAATTAAGTTGTTATGAAAAGTAGGGGATCCCAGAGGGGGGCTATCCACAGATTTTGATGATCTCACTGGCTTCACCTCTTTCCACTCTTCTTTTTTTCTCTTGGGAACTAAATTTCTCTCTTTCTTTTCCCCTTTAAACTTTGAGCAGTTTTAAGAAACCCAGGCAGAGGATTCCTGGGTTTCCATGGGGTTTTAGCTCATCAAGGTAAATCAAATGTCCATTAAGTCCTACTTTTTAAGGATAATCTTTAGCATCGTCCTTGCTGTATGATACACACCGGTGAGGAAAACCCTGGAATCTCTGAATGATATGGAAAATAGGAGGCAGCTAGCTCAAGTCACTTCAGGGAACCTACCCTGTTCGACAAAGTGCCACTTCTCACCTGTCACCTCAGCTTGGGTCATTTTATCCCTTCAATTAGAGTGCGGCCAGGCACCTGCTAGGACAAACCCTGACTAAGCACATTCACACTCATATACTGTGACCCTGTTTCTCCATCTTAAGAATTTGCATCACAATTCCTTTCATTCTTTAAGATATACTGGTCTCTGGCCTTGAGATAACTAATTTCTGAGAATCCAGAATTTCACTATGATAGGTTACTCACAATAGAGCATTTATAGACCAGGTAAAGGAAGAGATTCTGGCTGAACTGGTCTCCATTAGGGGATTCCTATTACAGCAGAATATCACATGAATTCCCTATCTACTAGATAAAGACTATAATAGAAAAAGCTAATGTAAGTCCCAGAGCACTGACCTACCAAAGGCTAAGTCTCTACATAAGCTTATCTTAAGTGCTACAGAAAATTTAAAGCTTGTAGGACATCAGCTACTATATATTCTATAGCCTCCAGAAATAGAAGTTCTAGTTGCCAAGACAGTAGAACCTTCTGAAACTGGGAGCTTGAGGCCAGTCTGGAAAACACACTTATACCTTGGGGGAAAGGGAGAAAGGAAGGAGGTGATGGGGTGTGGAATGGGGAGACAGAGAGACAGAGACAGAGAGAATTAAACAGACCAACACAAAGGGCTCATGGTCTCTAATAAAGTCTGTGGTAACTGGGTGTGATGGATGGTGCATGCCTGTAGTACCAGCACTTCCAGCTCTTCTAGAACTCAGGAAGCTGAGGCAGGAAGTTCCTGGCTAGACTGAGCTACATAGTAAATTCAGGACAGCCTGGGTTATACAGTAAGAAAGTAATTAAAATCAATGTTGGATTATGATAAATTGAGTCAGTTATCAGCTGGAGTTGTAGATTTCCAGCCAGCTTTCCAGCAACTTTCTTCCTAATGTAGCACCCACACTACTCTGTATTAATGGGACAAGTATATACTCTTTTCAAGTTGCACAAACTGTTTGAAGCTGTTTTCCCTATTCATGAGAAGAGCAACCTCCGTGATAAATAACCCTGGTCTATCTATGCTGTGGCCACATTTACCAGTATTTTGTCACATAGTTTCATAGGACATTAACCTGACCATCATGCTAGAACAGGAAGTTATGTATTTTAGATATGCATGGTGGACATAAAAGAAGAACAGAACAAAGCAAAATTCACAGTTGGCTTGTAACTTGAGCTAAGTTTTCTGAAGGTCAAAGTTGTAGGCATGCCAGGCTACCTTCTCTGACATAAAGGACAGGCTCTTACTCCTTATCCTCATCATCTCTTCCCAGTAAAAGAAGCAATACTTGCTTGGGCATTTTGAATCTTGGAGAAAGGATATAGCACATGCTGGTTCTCCTTCTCTGATCTATTTACTGAGTGATCAGAAAACAGGTAATATTAGTTCTAGCAAGTTCTGTGGGACTCTTAAAACAGCCACAGTAAGGCTGAATATGACAGTTAAAACAAAAAACCTCATAAAGGGGGGAAGCACATGATTTTGTTTGCAAGACTACACTCCAAGCTTAGAACTGAGCCCTACAATGGAAACTATTTACTTGATACAAGGTAGCTTCCTGTCATAAATTAGTTATGCAGTTCATAAGATACAAATTTTGATATGCCCCAAAGAATTCCACTAGAAGTGATGTATATAGAAGACCTGCCACATGCCACAGATCCTTCTCCTTCAAAAGACATTTATGACTTCTTGTTGATGTAAACAGATGACTAAGGTGAAAAAACTCCACTCTGGTGTATACTTGGCTCTTGTGCCATGCTGGCCTAAGCTAGTAGAAGTAGACTGCTGTTGAATACATACTTCATTGGCAACTTTAAATGAATACAGGAGAAACCCTCTCAGTGAAGAGAACTTTTAAGTATGCTATCTATCACTCTGTCTCACTGGAGATTAGGTTCTAATAAATCAGAACTAAGAAGAAATGTTTATGCTCCAGGTGAATACTCACCAGATGGCACACACTGCTACATTCCCCCCTTGCTACCCCAGTACTGACCTGATGAGTTAATGAACATGCTAGCTGATGGCTATTTTATATCCATCCATCCATCCATCCATCCATCCATCCATCCATCCATCCATCCATCCATCTCAAATGTATCTATCATGTCTCTAGGACTTCTCTCCAAGGATTTACCAGAATGTTTTATTATGGTATCTCAGGGGATATTATTTCCAAAAAAGAATTAATTTTACAAAGAAGTATGTCAATAGGATCACACCATCATCCAGAAGCAGTTGGTGTTACAGATTACAAAACAGTACAATGTCTACCACAGTTCCATCTGTGAAGCTATCTGGTGGGATGTGCCCAAATGTTCTCAATCAATAATGAGCATTAAATTGTACTCTTTTCCCCACAGTTTAAAACAAAATGAGAGGTCGGGGCTATCCTGTTAACTCTCACCTGGTAAAAGAGTGTGGGCTTCAAGTCTTTGCTTCCTTCTACGTATTCTTCACATTGAAGCCAAAAATACAAATCAACTCAGTTCACAGGATTCTACTTCATTCACAACAATCTAGAGCTGAATGGTGTAGCCTAGGCTTTTCTCAGCCCCTCCCCCCCCCCCGCCCCACAACTCCCTGTTACAGGACTTTTCTGAGTATGCAGCTCAGTGATAACTTAGCTAGCATGTCCAGGCCCCTGGATTCATTTCCCAGTACTACAGAAAAGGGTAAGAGAGATTTTAGCCAAGTCTAGTTTGAAGTCATGTCAGACAGGGCACCAAAGAATAAAGAAATGATTCTACCCAAGCTGAGCACAGGGAGCCATATGTTTAGTGGGTAGGAATGTGGATGACTCAAAATGCAGCTGAAACACTGGAAGAAAAGCTCACCCTAGCGTAAGTGGCCACTCAGAAGCACAGGTAGCCAGGCTTCATGAGTCTTAATGAGCTTTTCTCCTCTCTGCATGAAGGACCAGCTCAATTAGAAGGAAATGCTAGACAGCACTGTTTTTTTGTCATGCAACCCTTTAAAAACTTCTGCATATGCCTTTCTCTTATACAGACACTTGTTCCCGCCATTTCTAGAACCTCTCACTTCCCTTTTGCCGCTCTCTTTGCTTTTTCAAGGAAATTGTGCTTAAATACTAGCTACATATTCTATTGAGAAAGCAGCTTACTAAGTTGCCCATGTTGGCCTTGAACCTGTGGTCTTCCTGCCTCAGCCTCCCAAGTAGCTGGAATGACATGACTTCAAACTAGACTTAGCTAAAGTCTCTCTTACCCTTTTCTGTAGTACCGGGAAATGAACCCAGGGGCTTGTACATGCGAGATAAGCTATCACTGAGCTACATACTCAGCAAGAAAACTTTTGACCCAGGATCACCAGCTGCTGGTTTATGCTCATTCTGCTTCCTTGAGAGACATGGAAAACACAAACCTCAATACTCTGCATTCTGTAGTAGCCACTACTTTTTATATCAAGCTACTCCTATTACCTTCTATATACACTCTAGATCCCCGCTATATAGACTATGCTTGGATTGCTGTTTGGCTTTATAGGTAATTTTGTTCTTACAAACAGAGTTTCCTGAGTGGGCAGAGATTTCTTTGAAATTGGGAGTAGGATTTTTTTTGTTTGTTTTATGAGACAGGGTTTCTCTGTTTTGGAGGCTGTCGGTCCAGCCTGGCCTCGAACACACAGAGATCCGCCTGCCTCTGCCTCCCGAGTGCTGGGATTAAAGGCGTGCGCCACCAACGCCCGGCTAGGATTTGTTTTTGCTTCGTATTATATTCCTGGCACGAGAATGTTAGTTGGTACCTATAAGATGCTTGTAAGTCTCAAACAGAGTTACTAGACAAGGCGATGAATGCACTAATCAGTAATGAATGGATGGGCGGATGAGGGAGGTGAAGCAATTTCCTTTTTTAAAACTTCCTTTCAATGATTGTACAAGAAAGGAGCAAGAACAACTTGGTAAGAAACAGTTCTCACCCATTATCCATTAGAAATCTATTTGATAACCCATGACTCAAAAGGTCAGACCTTAGGTCTCCCTTCCTCTTTGCTAACAACAAAGGACTCACGTTGAACTCCTCTCTGAAGAGCTTATTGTCATCAGCCATTCTTCGGTTAATCTCCTCTTCCAGCTTGTCCACAGGCAGTGGTGGGTACTTCCTGTTGGTGCTTGGGGACCTGGCCAGAAGTGGTACACTTTGGGGCTCTGTAGTGTATAAAAGGGAAGGTAAGTTAGGTGCTCTGGAGATAGATGCAGTCCCTTTTGTGAAGATTAATGGTCTTCTCATTCTTTTGAAAAAAATGGGAGAAGAGGCAGGGACTCCATCAGTAAAAGGTGTTTGCCACTAAGCTTGATGGCCTCAACTGGATGCCCAGAATCCACATGATGGGAGGAGAGAACTAACTCTTGCAAGTTGGCATGTGTGTACACACATACACACATACAATAAATAAAAAAGGATGGGGAAATATTCATTTATTGGTTTTCTTCTTCAGAGGTTCCCCATGCCTTACCCACATCCTCTGTGCGACCATTTGACAGGCGGAAAGAATTGGAATGGCTCCCAGCTTGCTTGTATTTCTTAAACCTAATGAGAAAATATCTGTAATGAAAAACTAGGCACAGAGGTAAATCACTGTCTTTGTATTTTTGTTATTGACTACATCTTTCTAAATCTCTCTGTCAAATCAAACATTTTAAAAAAGAGACACAAGTCAGGCACGTCTGAGGCAGCTCCATTCTGTGGTAACTGAGCACCTTGGGATGGTTGGTCTTCCTTACACTCAGCATCCTAAAGTCCAGCTGAGGCAACACTATGTTCTAGCCTGCCTGGTTTCTGTGTAGCCTCAGCTCCACAACACAACACAACACACGAGTGCACAGCCATAATAGATGGAATACGATCAAGTGTAATATAGAGGTGTGTGTGTGTGTAAGAATGTGGTAGAATAGGTGGGACAGGATAGAATAGTAAGATTTTGTTTTGTTTTTTCAAGACAGGATTTCTCTGTGTAGCTTTGGAGCTTGACTTTGATCTAGCTCTTGTAGGTTAGGCTGGTCTCAAACTTACAGAGATCCGCTTGCCCTGCCTCCAAAGTGCTGGGATTAAAGGCACGCACCCAGTGGAATAATAAGATCTTTATGAAACAAAAATCCTGGTGTTCCCTCAGCACAACCTAAGAGTCACCGGGAGAAGCCCAGAGCTCCAGAATGAGAGAACATAGGTTGAATGGAGATGGGTACATAGCCCCCTCTCTTAATTCTGGTGGAAGAACAAAGGGAACACAGAGCAGGTTAGGTTCAAGATAAGGCTGAGTTAAACCCAGGTCTCCAGGGCAGTAGCTTCAGCAGGAAGAGAACAAATGAATCACATTCTTCTTTCTCTTGGGTTTCTCTTCTGGCTTCTGTTCATTATCTAGAAGCTTCTGAAAGGCCAGGAAGAGGAATACTTTACCTTAAAATCTGTCTAGCAAACAAAGGCCAGGGGTCCTAGAGAAGTTTGGGGACAAAGCCTCAGCTAAAACTAAGCTTTTGTTGTGCATATAATCTTACCAGGGGCCATTTAAGAGGTTGTTTCAAAGGACAAGAGCTGAAGATCTCGAAACACCTGTCCGTGATAAGATAGTATGGAAGTCTCCCATCTCTAAACCACTACTCTACTTTAGGTTTTAGCCTCAGAATTAGGAAACTTGGCTTGGACAGATAAAGCAAAGGGAGAAGAGCCTAGGTCTTTAGGAAGACTGTAGTATAGAAACTGTTTCTAAGTAGTACTTTAATATAAGCACGATCAAGAGTTACTGTCCCTCTACCCTACTCATTGTCCGTAGTCTACTGTCTTCTGGTCTGTGTGTACTTACTGAGACCCAGGAGTGTCAAGATGTTCTAAGCAAATGCAGTAACATTAACATACTTACCTTAACATGTACAGAACTATAATAATAAACACGATTACTAGCAGAGAGGACAGGGCCACCATCACCGCAATAATTGGTGTCTCATCTGAAACCAAGAGAAAAGAATAGGTCATAACTGTGTTGTGCAATGAAAGGCTCAAGTTGGAAGCTCAGGAAGACACACTGATGAGGGGGTGGGGCACACTACCCATTAAATATTTCTGCAGATGGTAGGATGTGAAATACAAACACAAACACCAAAGAACAAAATGAGAAACAGAAAGGATGTGTGCAGAAATGCATCAAAAGAGCAAGGAGCAAGTACATGTGCTAGAGTACAGGAGAAAAGAATACCCTCTGCCACATCAGGTAGGGGACGCAGTAGAGTCCTACCTGTCTCCGATATACCATACATTCATTTACTGTATGACTTCTTGCATCGGGATAAAATTGTCCTTTAAGTCAGAGACTCTTTCATTGCTTATCATTTGAGCTCAAACAAAACTTAGCACACAAAAAGTACTCAAAGATTTGGAGATACAAATACTGGCAGGTCAGGAATGTAGGGCCAACATTACACTCCGTCCCAGTGTCAGTGAGCTCTGACTACAAAAAAAACAGGAGACAGAAGAGAAAAGATTGTTCTGTAGTAAACCTCAGTGGTTTCCTGACACAGGGAATATGATGAAACCAGGAGATGCTGCTAGATCCTTCTGCACCAGGCATCAAAAGCTACCATGCGTGTGCTCCCTATTCCTTTCACCACTTTCCATACCCGCCCCCAGCTGCCTTTTACCAAGACCCCGACCATGACAAAGGCTGGCTTGAGTGGATGCTCAAGCCTTCCCTCCACTCCACAGGCTCTAGCTCAGTACCAGCCACATTTCTCATGCAGCAGACCAGGTCAGGACCCCACTTTACTCATTACAAACCACACAACCCATCTGAGTTTCTTTGTTGTTTGTGAGGGAGGGTATGTCCCTTTTATGTGAAGGCCAATCCTGCCAGGTGGTCTCTGGACTATGCCCATCGTTGTCACCTCAAACTTCTTCTCTTCTTGACCTCACTTATCCTCTGTCTCAGTTAACTACTCATAACGGTTGCTTTACTTTTCTCGTTTTCTTTCCCTCAGGATTTCCTGATCCATTTACACTGACTCCACCGAAGCTGCTCAGCAAGGACCAAACAACAGCAATTACCAATCTAAGAGAAACAGTACCATTTTCATCTGGTTCACCCTCTTACCAGAGCTCTTTCAAATACATTCACAGAGCAGTAACTGTGCTTGGCTGTTTGGGACACTAGCAGAGCAGGGGCTTACATGTCACAGAAATGTCGTTCAAGACAGGGACAAGGGATTTGGAGGAAACAAGAAGAAAAAGCAGCAGGGAGATAGCAGTGGAGTGTTGCAGAGCACTCTCGAGATTTGTCCCTGCCCTTTACAGGCTACACTTCAGCAGGACACTAAATAACAGGGCAAAGTGAACTATGAAGAGATCTGCATGAAGAGCTCTCTCTATATAAGAAATGACAGGCCTAATGGCTTAAGACTTTGACAGGTTCAAGAAAGCACAAAGGCCAGTGTGATAAAACTGCAACTGGAGAGAAGGGCAGGAGCCAGAAAACATGTTATAGGCCAAAGCAGGGAGTGTGGCTTTAATTTGGAATATGATGAGAAACATAGCATTATTGGAAGACTGACACAGAAAGGACACAATTGAATTTTCCTTTGTTTAAAAGTTCTGGTAAACTGACTTAAGAATAGTAGCAGCCACTAGGTAGGAAGTCATTTCAGCAGAAAGCCAAGAGCAGTCTCCAAGGAAGGAGAAACAGTGCTGGCAGGGTAAATAAGATGAAACAGATATGAAACCGGCTTGACCAGATGAAAGCTACTGGTGAGACTTAGGAGCCCTTTCTTTTGAGTATGGGTAAGAACCCTAAATGGAATGACAGGAAGACAGAGAGTGAAGAGAGAAGTACAGCCACTCATTTTATGAGGACTTTTACATCAGGGTACATTTGCAAATAAAAGGAACAGCAGTTGGAGAGAAATGTGTGTGTGTGGGGGGGGGGTGACTGAAAATAGGGTATCACTGTATAGCTCACAGTTCACAATCCCTATTTTATCTCCCAAGGACTGAATTAGAGGTAAGTGCCACCATCCTAGCCTAAAGGGATAGGAAATGCTTACCATATTTTTCTATCGATGGTAAATTCCAAACACTGCAGTATGCGATTCCTATATTTTACAATGAACGTTCCCACTAGATGATCATTTCCTCCTCTTTGAGGCATTTTCTCCCTATAACAAAGTCCCCTGGCTATTTCATCTGTCTTCTCTGCTAGAAACAGCAGTGCTCTATGACTGTGGAAACTTCTCAGGGCTGTGTCCTTGGGATGCTTTCTTATTTTCAATCTATTATCTGATCAGATGCCTATAAATTCAAATGATATGACAGAAAGTCCCATATTTGCATTGCTTGATTCTCAACTACCTCCTGGCCACCTCCACTTTCAACTTGACGGGCTTCACAAGCAGCATGAACTCTCTGTACTACAAATGCTTTTACAAGTCAGTAGCTAGCATTCTAATCCTCCTGTTGCTCAAGCAAGAAAGGCAGAAATCCCTTTGACATTCTTCATGCATACTGTCTCTAACCAACCCAGCTGCAAGCAATTTCTTTTAGGGCTATAGCCCCTGAGAGACATTTTTTTTTTCCCTCCCAACAAAGGTAGCTAACATTCCACAAAACTTTTCCATCTGGTTACATGTCTGTGTGTTCAATCACTAGACATTTCTGAGACTTGACTATCACACTCTTCCTCTTCTTATAGATTAGCCAATCATGTCAGACTGTAAGGTTGAGCTCCCACCAATAGGAAGAGACAGTCACTACCTGTGTTAGAATAAAATCTATGTGCACTTCCTGCCCAAGAGTACTCAATAGGTCAGTTAGGGCCAAAGCACACTCTTTTTGCAAAAATAAATTGCCTGCTGAATTACTTTTCCTTTGTTTATGATTATCCTTTCTCAACAAACCAATATGTCAAATGTGTCTGCCTTTTTTCCATTCTCTGCTGTCACCAACTTCCACTGTCTCTTTTTTGTTAGAATGAAGTCTAATCTTCATTCTAGTCTTGGTCTACAACTTGTAAGTAGCTTCTATCAACACTGCCTCCTGCCACTCTTCTTTTTTATCACTAAACTTTAACCACCGGCATCCTTAAGCTGAAGACATTCTTTCTTATGCTACTGAGCATTTACTTTTCTGATTCATGTGGCTTCCCTCCATTCTTGGCCAGTTCACCTACTCATTAAGTCCTGATTTGCAGATATTACTGTCCCCAGAAGATCTACTCTAACATCTTGGTATTAAATTTATCATTTCTGAAATAAGTTCTTCAACGGCTTTTCTCCCAGCAGGTCACCACACCGATGTACACCCAGTCAATATGGTGCACTACAGCCCAGAGCTCCTGGACTCAAGCAATTTGCCTGCCTCCGCCTCCCGAATAGCTGAGACCACAGGTGTGTGCCATCGTGCCCTGTCTGTATTATTCTTATAGAGCATATATTATTTCTCTTGATAAGAACTCTCATACTTTGTAATTATTTACTTATTTGACCTTTATGCCATAAGCCACTAGGGCAAGCATATTTGTTTTATTTCTTTTTTTTTTTATTTCTTTGTGTAATTTTAAACCTGGCAGATCTCAAACATAGTAAGAGTTAGGTTGAGCAGATGAATAAAAGAATTATTGAAGCTTGAAGCTGGGTGTGATGATGAATGTCTGTTGCATATACACATAAACAAATCAACATATAAATAAAGCCTACTAAGCTTGTTCAATGTTGTGCCAGTACACGTTTCTAGGGGCTGATCACTCTAAAAGACAGGAGACAGGCTTTCTCTGTGTAGTTCTGGCTGCCCTGGAACTCGCTCTACAGACCAGGCTGGGCTTAAACTCAGAAATAAGCCTGCCTCTGCTTCCTAAGTGCTGGAATAAGCCCAGCAACAATTCTTTTTTAAAATTTTTCTTTATTTTTATTTTATTTTATGTGTTGTTTTGCCATGGTTGTGTCAGGACCCCTGAAACTGGAATTACAGACAGTTGTAAGTGGGGGCTGGGAATTGAACCCAGGTCCTCTGGAAGAACAGTTAGTGCTCTTAATCACCGAGTCATCGCTCCAGCCCCAGCAATTCTTAACATAACCAGATACTATTATTCCCTTAAAGGAGCAACACTAATTCCTCAGTAATCTAAGATTCAGGTACTGTTTACCTTCTCTGACTGACTCATAAACACTTCTTCTGGGAGGGAAGGGGAGGAGGGGAGGGAGAGAGAACTGGGATTGACATGTAAAACAAGCTTATTTCTAATTTAAATAAATAGAGAAAGAAAAAAAACCCCAAATACTTCTTCTGGTTTGGTTAACCCTGGAACATAGCACTGAGAAGGCCCCTTTAACCAGTTTTACATCCTCTCTGAGACTTAAGTTTGCCAGGAAACCTCTTCTTGTCTTGTCTCCTTTCTGAGACATGAGGCACGCTGCTTTTGTCAAGACCTTATCTGTCTTCCTGGTTCTGAGATATGTATGCCTGATAGTCTTGCTATTATCAGAGAGTTGCTAGTTGTGTCTGTGGGTATATAAACTGCAAGTCTTGTGGGAAGAAAAAGAACTTTTAGAGAATTTTTAAGGAGAACTTCTAAAGAGAACTTTAAGAAAGCTTTTAGAGAAAGAACTTTTGAGGAGAAATCTTAAAGAGAGCTTTTTGAGAGAGAACTTTTTTGAAGAATAAAGAGCCATGAAAAGAATGGTATGTGTATGAACTAATTCATTCGCCCCCAGACCTTATTAGTCAGTCATGCCCGCCTGCTGTAAGCCTCCTGCTTGAACCCTCGTTAGATGTGCTGTCTGGGGGAGATTACAGAACTTTAGGAGGTACAGCTTTGTTTGTGAAGCGCATCACTGAGGAGGCTTCTGTGGGTTTACAGCCTTGCCCTGCTCCCTGTCCTTGCTTTCTGCTTCCTGTGTGTGGTTAAGATGTGATCTCTTAGCCTCGTGCTCCTGCCACCATGCCTTGCTTGCTAAGATAGATATTCATTCCTCTGGAACTATAAGCCAAAGAAACAGAAAAGTAACTAAAAAATCACTTGGGGCTGTAGGAGCTTTACACAATTGGGTGTTGAAAATCCCTAAGAGCCATGAAAAGACACCATTTTATAGATTAAGAGAAAAACTACAGAAAACAAAAATGTTTAAAGGTAATAGTAGACTAAAAGGCAGAAACCAATTAATTCTTACAAAGTATGACCTAGGGGCTGAAGAGCTAGCTCAGTGGGTAAGAGGACTTGTTGCTCTTCCAGAGGACTCAGATTCGATTCTCAACCCCTACAAGGTGGTTCACAACTATCTCTAACTCTAGTTCCAGAGGACCAGTTGTCTTCTTCTTGCCTCCATAAGCACTGGACACATATGGTGCACAGATATACAAGGAGGCAAAACACTCATACACACAAAATAAAAAGGACTATAAAACAAACAAATCATGACCTAATATATCACCAAAGGGTAAAATACTAGCATGGGGACATGATACATATACAATTATTCTATTGTTGATTAAAATACATCAAGGGACTGAAGAAATGGCTCAGCAGCTAAGAACCTTGGCTACGAGTACCCTGGATTGATTCCCAGCATCTTCATAAGGACTCACAACCACAGGTGACTACATTCATAGGAGATCTGATGAGCTTTTGTTGCCTCTGTGGGCAACAGGCACACATGTGTGATAAAGAGACATTCGGGCAAATTACACACACACACACACACACACACACACAAATAAAATTTAAAAATATATAAAATACATGGAATCTGTTAGAATCTGTAATCTATATAAAAATAGAATGTTTGTTTCCTTTACTCTTTTCTAAGGTAAATATGGAAACATTTAAGGACAGTAAACAAACAACACAGCCATGGATACACAAAGGTAACACACAGAAGAAACATGGATTGACAGTGTACATCTTTTAAAAGGACAACAGATAAAAGGTGATTGGCTCACCTCTCCTGTCTTTTGAGTCAGAATTACCTGTGTAACAAGTAAAAAACAGAAACATTTACTCAGGTTAAAGAAAAACATTGCCATTCAATTCAAGGAAAAACGAAGAAAAAGCTCCAGAAATATAGGTAATTTTCTCCACATTCCATACACTACAGTAAATGGGGAACAAATTATCTAGGGGTTACTCAGCTTTAGTCAGTAGTCTCCTTCCTTCCTCCTGAGTATGCACACAGTGCAGCATCCAATACTCACCAAAAACAAAGTAATTCAAGGAAAAACACAAATATTAGCTACCAGGAGACATTATGTCTTTTGGACTTTTGAAATGCAAAAGGACAACATTAAAAATATAAAAGATCCACACAATAAAATGCAAAAAAAAAAAACCAAAACAAAACCAAAATCAACCAAACAAACAAACAAAAAACAACCCAAACTAAGTGATATATACCCAATCTCATATACCAATAGAGAAAAGCTTGTTTTTAGAAACCTATTATGGACTGGTAAGACAGCCAATAAGGCAAAGGCACTTGTCATAAAGTCTGATGACCTGAGTTCAATCCTCAAAAATCTACAAAATGGAAAGCAAAAAAGCAAAAACTGACCACATCACACCTGTACTGTGGCAGCACCAACCAACACTAATAAAGCAACATACAATCATACTTTTTTTGGGGGGGGGGTGTTTCAAGACAGGGTTTCTCTGTGCAACAGTCCTGGCTGTCCTGAAACTTGCTCTGTAGACCAGGCTGGCCTCGAACTCACAGAGATTTGCCTGCCTCTGCCTCCTGAGTGCTTGGATTAAAGGTGTGGACCACCACCACCTGGCCTAACATCTGTATTTTTAAAGAAACCCGTGTTAATGCCGGGCATTGGTGGTCTACAGAGCGAGTTCCAGGACAGCCTCCAAAACAATATAGAGAAACCTTGTCTCGAAAAAAAAAAAAAAAAAAAGAAATCTGTGCTATACCTACAGCTTAAACAGAGACTTAAGACAAACAGTATAATATTCTCTTACCACTATACAATAAAAATGGAAATTAACAGGCAAAATTGAAAATTAAAATAAAAACAAATGATGAAAACACCTTGTAGTGTCTTTTTTAGCTAAGTTACCAAGTTATCTGGTTAAATACTATACTTCTGAGACTAGGTATGGTTACATTATTGATTTCAGCTAATGGGATATCAACAAAAACTATGGGGAAGTATAGGTTATAAAATCTGGAAAAGAAATCGCTTCTATTCCCTTTCTTCTCAGTAACCATGGAACCACGCAAATAAAAGGGCTGTTGTTAGGAATGGCAGGGACCTTCTGCCCACATTGGGAGAAAGGGGGATACTTTAGTCCTCGTCAGAGCACCCTAACTAGCAGTGTGAACATACCTACAGGGTTACCTATGCAACATGCTGAGACCTATGCTGCATAAAAACCACACCATCAAATATTAATAAATCTGAAAACTAAAAACAAAAAAAATCAGCTTTAATTTAAAAACTTAAACAGGAAGCACAAAATAAATCTAAAACAAGGCAGAAAAGATAAAAATAATAAAAGGCTAATATGGTAAAAGAACTAATAAAAAAAGTGGTTTTTTTTGGAAGGAAAGAAGCAACAAACTATTTAACAGTAAACCCTAAGGAAAAAAGGAGATGAAAATATATAAAGTGAGAACTATTCCCAGCTATGTAGGAAATCAACCCATCCTGAGATGACTTTTCTTCAAATTCATTTGAATTCATAAATATGAGTAAAATGCAGTTTTCTATGAGAATTTTCAAATTTTTTGTCTTTAAACTTCAATGTTCTTTTAATGAAGAAAACAAAACACTAGCAACTAACACATCGACATCACATTTGCAAAGTAAAAACACAGACCAAATTCACATAGAAAAAAAAACACACACAACAAAAACCACTTGTACATATCAATGGAAAAAATCCTAAGTCACATCACAACTCCTCATGCATGTTCCTGCAAGCAATATTAATAAAACTTCTTGGGCCATTAAATAAAAGAAAAAAACTTTTAAAGAGGGAACTAGAGAGATGGCTCAATAATTAAGAGCACTGACAGCTTGCAGGAGCCAAGTTCAGTTCCCAGAACCCACATGGAGGTTCACAATCATCTGTAACTCCGTTCCAGGGATGTGATGCTGGCCTTTGTAGGCACCTCACTTGCACACAGTACACACATTCATATACATACATATAAAACATACATGCAGGCAAAACCTTCATATACATAAACAACAAATATTTAAGAAAAAGACAGAAGGTTGTTGAAGGGGGAATGGCTAGGGAGAGGAAGATTAGTACAGTGGTAGAAAGACAAGATGGGGTAGTTGAGTATGAAGAGGATCAATTCATTATATACATGCATGAAAATGTTAAGAGTGATAAATGCATATATGAGAATTTATAGCAAAAATGTAATTTCACCTTAAGCTTGCATGCATGTTCATGTATGTAAGTTGGGGCATCCGAGTACTGTAACGAGCATTCTTCCCTCCAGCCTAGTCCCAGAGCCGTATCAACCCCAAATAACACATAGAGACTCTATTAGTTACAATGTTGTCAGCCAATGTCCAGGGCTTCTCATTGGCTAGTTCTGTCTTAAGTAGTAACCATAACTACTAATTATATATATTTCTATAAGGACTTATCTTACTGAGGACACCAGCTTCATGTGTCCTCTCTTCCCTGGATCACATGGCAACTCTCTACTCTTGACTACATTTCCCAGAATCCTCCTCGACTCCTAGTCCCATCTTGCTTTCCTATTGGCCAACAGTCCTTTATTTATCAATCAATAAGACAAACATATACACAAAAGGACTTCCTCCATCAGAGTACCATGATGCATGTGTGGAGTCAGAAGTCATCCTTGGACATAGGCCCTGTCTTAGGTTACTATTGCTGTGATTAAGCACCATAATGAAAATCAATGTAAGGAGGAAAGGGTTTATTTCATCTTATACCTTGTAGTCTATCATGCACAGAAGCCAGTACAGGAACCTGGAGGCAGGAAAGGAAGCACTGCTTACTAGCCTGCTCTTCATAGCTTGCTCAGATGCTTATAGAAGCCAGGACCACTAACTCAGGGGTGGTAATACACAGTGAGGAGGGCCCTCCACATCAATCATCAAGTGCACAACAGGCCAATCAAGTGGGGGCATTATCTCAACTCAGCTGGGGGCATTTGTCAAGCTGACATAAAATTAGGCAGCACAGGGCCTCACCTTCCATCTTATTTGAGATAGGGTCTCTTTCTGTTTGCTACTACATTATGTATACCAGGTTATCTGGCCTGTGAGCTTCTGGGAATTCTCCTATCTCTACCCCACATCTTGCCACAGGAGCACTGAGATTATGGATGGGAATCACCATGTCTGGGTTTATGTGGATTCAAGGGATTTGAACTCAGGTTCTAATGCTTTTGTGACAAGCACTTTGCTCATTGAACCATGTTTGCAGCCCTTGTTTCACCTTTAAAAGGTTTAAAATTACATTGTATGTATGTGTGGAAAGACTATCAAAGTGAGAACATATCTACTTTGCTACTTCCAAGTCTAATATCTTGTATAGATTTTATAGTCTTAAATTCAGTATACACTAACAGGAAATAATTACCCATGTTCATCTCACAGAATTGTTAACTGGAAAACAGTACAGAATGAGGCCCAGGCAGATGATGGAATCAACTGTGCTTACCTTACAATTCTACCTTGCATATTCATTCCTTCAACCTGTGTAAATTATTTTGCCTTTCTCCCCTGAGCAATGGTTATAACTCACAGAAGATATTTTATGATGTTTAGTATACACATGTATTTTTGTGCATAACAAACAAAAGTTTCAAAACATTATACATATAACATGAATAGGAATGCAAAAGGAAGCCAGGCGGTGGTGGCGCACGCCTTTAATCCCAGAACTCGGGAGGCAGAGGCAGGCGGATCTCTGTGAGTTCCAGGCCGGGCTGGACTGATAGCCTCCAAAACAATACAGAGAAACCCTGTCTCGTAAAAACCAAAAAAAAAAAAAGGGAAATGCAAAAGGATCACCCACTAAGACAAAATAAATACTAATGATGGTGGACCATTAAACAGATTTCATGAATGGGTCATAATCTATACTTTAACATTAAAACACGAAGTAACATTGCTTCCAGTTCTCAATCTAATCAAGAATAGTAGCAGCCATGGACATTTAACATATCTCTGCTATTGTGGAACATTTTTAAAAAGATTAATTAATTAAACTGGGTGTTGGTGGCGCATGCCTTTAATCCCAGCACTCGGGAGGCAGAGGCAGGCAGATCTCTGTAAGTTCGAGGCCAGCCTGGTCTACAGAGCGAGTTCCAGGACAGCCTCCAAAACAATACAGAGAAACCCTGTCTCGAAAAACCAAAAAAAGATTAATTGATTGATTGATAGATTGATTTTGTATGCAAGGTTCTGCCTGCATGTCAGAAGAGGGCACCGGATCTCATTATCGATGGTTGTGAGCCACCTTGGGGTTGCTGGGAATTGAACTCAGGACCTCTGGGTGAGCAGCTGGTGCTCTTAACCTCTGAGCCATCTCTTCCAACTCTGTGGAATATTTCTTTACACTGTGTGAAGATGTGTCACTGTGATTGGTTTAATAAAGAACTGAATAACCATTAGCTGGGGAGGAAGAGGTCAGACAGGACTTCTGGGGATAAAGAGCTCTGGGACAAAGAAAGGAGGAGTCGCCAGTCAAAGGAGAGGAAGCAGATGGGCAAAATGGAGATGAGATAACAAAGGCACAGAAGAATGCAGATGAAAAATATGGGTTAAGTTATAAGAACTAGTTAGAAACAAGCCTACGGCGCACAGGTCGAGCTTTTATGATTAATAGTTAAATCTCCGTAGTTTTTTTGTTGTTTTGTTCTGTTTTGTTTTGCTTTTTTGTGAGATGGCAGTCTAAAGAAAAATCCATCTACACTCCATATTTATTTTACAGTACGAGTGCCTCCACTGAATATATTAGCCCCAGCCCTTTCTGAAACAGGGTATGGCTATGTAGCCTAGGCTGCTCTGGAACTATAAATCTTCCTGCCTCACTTGCTATATGCTGGGATTACAGCCAAGTATATCACCTTGCTTGACCATGTAATTATGTAACCAGAGCACAAGTTGTAACAATTATAACAGCTGACTTAAAAAAAAAAGGTTGTGCCGGTGGTGGTGGTGTGCACCTTTAATCCCAGCACTCGGGAGGCTCGGGAGGCAGAGGCAGGAGGATCTCTGTGAGTTCGAGGCCGGGCTGGACCGACAGCCTCCAAAACAATACTGAGAAACCCTGTCTCATTAAAAACAACAACAACGAAAACAAAACAAAACAAAAAAAGGTTGCTTATTACTTTGTACAGTACTGTGTTGTAGTATCTTACTTAGATCAATTTATTTATTTATTTTTCTTTTTTGAGACAGGGTCTCACTATGTAACTCTGTTTGTTCTAGAACTCACTCTGTAGACCATGCTGGCCTTGGATTCACAAAGATCCACTGGCTTCTGCCTCCCAAGTGTTAGAATTAAAGGCGTGCACCACTACACACAGCTTAGATCAATTCATTAAACAACTTTCTATGGGCATGAATTATTACCACCATCAGTTTCAATTTTACATATGAAAAACTGAGGTACAGATAAAATCAAGTAAATTTACCTATGCTCACAATGGAACTTATGGCAGAACTGGGATTGAACAGGAACAAGTACTGTGGGTCTGCAAACTATGCTTTTTTTGTTTTGTTTTTGAAGATAGGGCTTCTCTGTAGCTTTGGAGCCCCTCCTGGCACTTGCTCTGTAGACCAGGATGGCCTTGAACTCACAAGAGATCCGCCTGCCTCTGCTTCCCAAGGGCTGGGTTTAAAGGTGTGCACCACCACTGCCCAGCTGCAAACTATGTTCTTCACTATACCTAACAATGCTATCTTGTCTATATTGCAGAAACAATGACATTAAAACAGGCAGGTAGTGGGTCTACACTATATGGTCTAGTTGCAAGAACTCCTGAACAAATTGGGAGCATGGGGGAGAGGGGAGAGGGAAAAGAGGCAGGAGGAAGAGGAGGGGGGAGAACATGAGGGAATCAGGAAGACTGAGTCAGGGGAAGAATAGAGGAGGGCAAGAAAAGAGATACCATAATAGAGGGAACCATTATAGGTTTAAAGAGAAATCTGGCACTAGGGAAATGTCCGGAGATCTATAAGGATGACCACAACTAAGAATTGAATGCTCTTCCCCTATAATGAGATTGATGACTATGTTAAATGCCATCCTAGAGCCTTCACCCAGTAGCTGATGGAAGCAGAAGCAGAGACCCACGCTAAGCACTGAGCTGAACTCATGGAATCTAGTTGTAGAGAGGGAGGAGTGATGAGTAAAGGGGTCAAGACCATGCTGGGGAAACCTACAGAAACAGCTGATTTGAGCAAGTGGGCGCTCATGAACCACAGGCTGACAGCTGGGGAACCAGCATAGGACCAAACCAGGCCCCCTGAAAGCGGATGAGTTAGGAGGTCTGGGCAGTCTATAGAGCCTCTCCTGAGTATTTATCCCTAGTGCATGAATGGACTTTGGGAGCCCATTCCCCTAGTAGGGATACTCTCTCAGCCTAGATACATGGGGGAGGGCCTAGGCCCTGTCCCAAATGATGTGACAGACTTTGATGATGCCCTATGGAAGGCCTCACTCTCCCTGGGGAATGGATAGGGGGGTGGGATGAGAGGGGTCAGTGGGGGGGGCATGGAAGAATGGGAGGGAGAGGGAACTAGAATTGATACATAAAATAAGATTGTTTCTAATTTAAATAAAAATATTTTTTAAAAAAAGACATCATCTTTAGTACCAAATACAATTAAATTTCGAAAGTACTTTTTTGGAATTCCATCATGAGCCAGACATGGATACACCTAAGGGAATCTGAATCAGACAAGAAATTTGAGCCAAAAGGATGTGACCATAGATGAGAGAACAGCAGTTTTGCTAGAAAAGAAATTTCATTTCTGTGGCAATTGGAGCAATTACTTTACTCCATGCAGAAGCTATCTGAGGGACCCTCTATTGTCTTCTATAGACCAGGAACCTAGTCAAGTAAGCCAGAAAGTTGCTCTACCCAAGCTAGTCTCAGGCCCAGGTTCTGATCCCGTTCTTTGGGCTACTGCTGTTTCAATCTAGTGACTCAAATTCAAGGAGACAGAGACTTGTGCTGAACAGATGGCTCTGAAATGTATAAGCTTCGGTGAGCCCCTCCTTCTCATTGTACCTATGGGCATTAGTCTACTGCTTTGTTATGCTGTGGAACATCATCTTCATTCTCTTCTCATGGCCTCCATGGACTGCTTCTTCTCCAGGCCAATTCACTACCCAGTCTGTGCTTTTCATCTTTAGTCTTTTGATAGCTACTAGTTTCCCCTTTTTTTTATCCAATACCTCTAAACACATTTGGGTCTCAACAATCTAATGAGGATCTTACCTATCAGAAAATGCTATGCTAACCAGGTATTAAGAATTGCTTACAAGATGGGGGCTGGAGGGATGGCTCTGTGGTTAAGAGCACTTGCTGTTCTTTCAGAGGACCTGAGTTTTATTCCCAGCACCCGCATCAGGTGGCTCACAACTACCTGAAATTCCAAGTCCAGGGATCTAACACCGTCTCTTGCCTCCGAGGGTACCTGCACACACGTGTTGTACATAAATTCATGCAAACACAATAGACTCAAGCACACGGACATGGACACACATACATAAAAGCAAATCTTTTTAAAAAATCCTTTTTTCTAGGTGTCATTACTTTTCTTGGCAAACATATACTTTAAGAATTTCATGGCTGCTGGGCGGTGGTGGCGCATGCTTTTAATCCCAGCACTTGGGAGGCAGAGGCAGGTGGATCTCTTTGAGTTCGAGGCTGGGCTGGACCGACAGCCTCCAAAACAATATAGAGAAACCCTGTCACGTAAAAACAAAACAAAACAAACAAAAAAAAGAATTTCATGGCTATAATACATGTAAAGATAGTAACGTGGTAAATAAGGCCAGAGTGAGAGGAACACGTGGAAAGCATCTCTGGTACCTGCAGGAGGGAAGGTTTCTGGAGTGGTTGCTGCTGTGCTGGAATTCCCCTCCCAGGGTTCTGTTCTGGCTTCTGTGAACTGGCTATCAGGAAGCCAGGTTCCATTTGGTGAAATGGTGGTGCTTCCCGAGTCCGTGCTTGCTGCTCTCTTGGTCCCATTGTCAGAGTGAGAAGAGTTAACAGTAGTTACATAGGTGGGTTCCAGAGTTAGATTTGGGCTAAATGTTGGTGCCTCAGAAAGAGAAATTACTGAAGAGGTTGGATTTGAAGTTTTATTCTCCTCCTTAACTGATTCTGTTGTTGATGTTGTAATTAATTTTGTAACTTCTAAAGAAGGTGAAACTACAAACACAAAAACAAAAAAGAAAGATCTTATGAAGAATATGAAGCACAAAAGTTAAGACACAAAGTAGTAAGCATTAATAAATGCCTCTAACATCTGGACACATACAGAGACCAGACAGATACCTACACTCATACCCTCTTAATGCTGGACCCTTTTGCTGTCCATAGCATTAAAATGACGTTTCACTTATTTCTTCAGAATCAGTATATAGGGTTGTAAATATTAACATTTCTTTTACATCTTAGGAAAAAAATAGTCTCTCTAATTATTTTAGCATACAGAACAAAGCCAAGCATTAATGCAATTCAAAGACTGGCAGGAGCTTCACAATCACATTTAAATGAAAATTTATTAATATTTAAATGCTAATTCCTTCAAATTTGGGTCACTATATGTAAAATCAAAAATCTATCTCAAATACTAGCCTTCTGAGATGACAATTTTTACCTGTAGTAGCATTGTTGGCATTAACATGTATTAGACCACTGCCAAACAGAATAAGAATGAACCAGGAATCCATGCTGACCTAGAAAACAGGGAGACACACAAGATAAAGTCTTACATTATTATAATTATGTTCAAATGATTCAAAATATAAGTTATTTTGGGTAGCATCATTCTTAGTTATTGAAATATATACACAGGATCTTTCAATAGTTTGATAGGCTGTTTTCCCCAGAAGTTCAGCTATTAACTGTGTCTTCATAGAAATATAAGTAAATTTAAATAGCATTTTTTAAAGTATACTTCTCAACCTTGGTTGCACTTTAAAAACTATTTTAAAAATCTAGTGCTAGACTGTATCTCTATGTATGAGAGACAGGCAGTCCTTAAATTTCCTAAGTTCATCTATTCGGGACCTGAGTACAGTACTGATCTAGGTTCTAGAGAAAGAATTGAGGACCAATTTATTTACAAGCCATGCTTTCATGTGGTCTGTAGTCTAGACTTAAATCAATACGGTAGTCACTATCTAAGTGAAAGAGGGCTTGCCTCCCTAAGAGGCATATGAAAATACTGAGGTGGGGTATATGCAGGTAATTTATACAAACCCAGACATTTGCTATGGTACAATGGCATTGCCTAGCTGGGGAATGTATTTAGCAGTGGCATTCTCCAAGACTTTTCTATTCTTTGTAGGCTGTGATAATGAAGTCAGTGCTACATTATGTTAGATGTCCATAATTCTTAAAGAACTGGATAGTGGCCAGGCGGTGGTGGCACATGCCTTTTATCCCAGCACTTAGGAGGCAGAGGCAGGTATATCTCAGAGAGTTTGAGGCCAGCCTGGTCTACAGGAGCTAGATCCAGGACAGCTAGGGATATACAGAGAAAGCCTGTCTTGAAAAACCACACACACAAAAAAAAACTGAATAGTGAACTTATGTTGATCTCTGACAGAATCCAGTTCAGTTCCTACCTGATCATATTTCAAAGCTGGTAATGCATACATCATTTACACAAGGATCAGGCTGGAAGGCTATTGTATATGTGTGATCAGCTACTCCGGGTAAATCAAGAAAAAATAAGTTGGTTTACAGAATTAAATGTTTAAAATACATTTTAAAAGAGAATAAGCAAATATTTGTGACTTGAAGCTACAAAAGAACTTTCTAAGCATAAGGGCAATGCATGCAGCCATGAAAGCAAAAATGGAAGCTGATTAGGAAAACAAGTTTTAAAAAAACTGATCATAAACAATGCTCATGGATAGGAAATTAGTTTTATTGATGTCATTTCTTCCAAAATTAGTCCATAGGTAAACACAATCTTGATTTAAAAAAATCACAAGTCTTTTGTAGATATTGACAAACTGTTTTGAAAGTTTATATGGAGGCAAAAGACTCAAGTCAAGTAGATACTGGAAAAGGAAAATAAAAGTTAGAGGACCAACACTGCCTAATACCAAAACCTCTCAAAATAAGTAGAAAAGAATTACTTGCATAACAACACACATCATCATGGGTATATCTAAAAAGATTCATTTCATATGCTAAGTGACTAAAAGTTGGTACCAGAAGTACATAATTATGATTCTATATGCATGAAGTTCTACCATAAGCAAAATTAACTTACATAGGAAAAAAAATCAGAGTAAGAGTACCCTAGAAAAGGTATTTATTACGAAGAAACATGACAATAATACAGGTTGAGTGAGTAGTCTTTATTTAAATGGTAGGTACTCAAAGTGTCTGGGCTTCCACAATTGGTTAGGTTTGGGAGTATTTACATTCATGTTACTGGGTAGGATTCTGTAACTTCTGATTTCAGATTAGAAATGTCAACCCCTTACTATGTATCCTAACAGTGGAAGAAGATGGACAAAGATGGACTTCCAGAATTCACTAAAAGACCTATACACTTCACTGTCATAAATTTTTATCTTAAAAGGAAAAAACAAAACAAAACAAAAAACAGCCAGGTAGTAATGTTGTAAGACTTTAATCCCAGCACTCAGGAGGCAGAGGCAGATCTCTGTGAATTTGAGGCCAGCCTGATCTCAGCAAATTTCAGGACAGCCAGAGCTGTTACACAGAAATCCAGTCTCAAAAAAAAAATTCCTCTAATCCAATGATTCTCAACCTCTGGGTCATGATCCCTTTGGGGGTCAAACAATCCTTTCACAGGGGTCGCCTAAGACCATTGGAAAACACAGACATTTACATTATGTTTCATAACAGTAGTAAAATTAGTTATGAATATATATATATATTCATTCTATAAGTTTTAAAGAAACTTGACAGACACAAAGTGCTTGTCATCAAGCCAAGGATCTGAGTCAGATCACTGGGACCCTCACAGTGGTAGGACAGATATTATTCCAGCAAGTTGTCCTTCACATATGCACTCAATATACACATGTATACTATATATATATATATATATACATATGCTTTATATAATTAAAAATGAATTGGTAGCTGGGAGGGGGGTGGAACACACCTTTAATCCCAGCACTCAGGAGGCAGAGTGAATTGAAGGCCAGCCTGGTCTATAGAATGAGTTCTAGGACAGCCAAGGCTACAAAGAAAGACTCTGTCTCAAAACCCCACCCCCTCAAAAAAGGAATGAATAAGAGGCTAAGTAGATAGATGACTAAAAAAAAAACCTATAGTGGAATATTATTAAACGGATGAGCATGAGGGCATGAATGCCACTGTCAGCACTCATGAGCAAAAGCTGAGTGTGGAGCACATGCTTATAAACCCAGTCCTGGGAGTACAGAGGCAGGCAGATCTCTAGGAGCAGCCAACTTAGCCTAAATCAGAACATTTAGTTACAACCAGAGGAACATCCTCAAGGCTGGCCTTGACACACATGTGCACCCCTCACACGCACGCCGGGCATGCTCTGGTAAGCCAAGGCTACATGGAGATACTTCGATTAATAAAATGGGTTAACAATTAAGAGAGCTATACAATAAGAAGCCTGAGCCATTGGCCAAACAGTTCCTAATTAACATAAGCCTCTGTGTGTTTATTTGGGACTGCATGACCAGGCAGGACAGAATCTCCATCTACAGTACACACATGCAAATAAAATGTAATAAAAATTTTTAAAGTTTATTATGGAAGCTGGAGAGATGGCTCAGCAATTGAAGTGTTTGTTGCTCATACAGAGGACAAGAATTTGGTTTCTAGCACCCATGTTGGGTCTTTCACTACTGAGTAACATCCAATGTATCTGTATTGAGGCACACTTACCACCCCCCTTTACTAATTTAAAAAGAAATTTAAAATAAAATAAAAAATTTGAGTGTTGGCCTAGGCCCCTGCCACTGTGTGCTTCGGCCCTACTCACCTCCAGGCCCTTCTCTGCTACCTAACTGGATGGCAGATAAGAGCCATCAAGTTTAGGTCACCAGCTTGGTGGGAAGATCATTCATAAGGAAATTCTGGTTGAAATAATTTTCAAGGATGATGAGTGTTTTACTTTCCATGACATTTTCCCTTAATCATTAACACATTTCTGGTGATATTCAAGAAACATACAGCCCAAACTTCTGCAATAGCTGCTAATGACCTGGGTTTGAACAGCTGTTAGCGAATGGTGGTGAAGGGCGGGTGCAGATAGGCATAGTTCATCATATTCATCTCCATGTTCTTGGAGGTAGGCGATGAACTGACTTCCTGGTTAAGAATGTTGAACTGGCCTCCTAGCTAAAAATGTTGGAGATAATTTCCCCATCTCTATGTATTGATTAAGTTGGCAAACTCTAATATGTTAAATATGTCACAAACTTATTTTTGGCTGTGTATGAACAGATTGAAGAGAATTTTAAAAATCTATGCTCAATAAAAGATGTCATATGTAAAAAAAAGAGTTGTTTGTACATATTACATTTATTTTCTGGATTTGTAAGTTATTTCCCAATAGGCAAAAATAGACTGAGTAAGACAGAATTACATGTTTTAGAAAAGCTAAAATGCTAAGAGAATCCAAGTTTATAACAGTGTATGTGTGTGTGTAAGTTGGTGATTGATGAGTGTGTGTGTGTAAGTTGGTGATTGATGAGTGTGTGTGTGTAAGTTGGTGATTGATGAGTGTGTGTGTGTGTAAGTTGGTGATTGATGAGAGTGTGTGTGTGTGTGTGTGTGTGTGTGTGTGTGTGTGTGTGTGTGTGTGTGCAAGTTGGTGATTGATGAGTCTTCCTCAATAACTCTCTGCCTTACTGCTTGAGGCAGGGTTTCTCAAATCGATCAGGAGCTCACCAATGTGACCAATCTAGCTTGTCAGTTTGCTCTAGGAACCCCCAAACCTTCTGACTGCTGAAACACAGGTGGGTCACGACGTTCAACTGGCAATTACATGGGTTCTGGGGACCAGAACTCTGGTCCTCACATTTCCAAAGCTTTATTTCATTGAGCCATCTCCCCAGCTCCCCAATTATTTATTTAAAATAGAAAATACAAAAACTTGTTAATCATAAACCTTTAGTAAACTGAGTACCTAACAGCCAAAAGGCAAGCACACTTTGGGGGATGAATCAAGGAATCTGTTTAATTCCTTAGTATATCAAATACAATGGCACACATACTGTGTTTGTTCCCCTGCTCCTCCATATCCAAAGAGCCAATATGTAATTCTTACTCATCACAAAAACATTTCTAACTTATTTAAACATGTTTCCATTACATATACATCAGGTTGATCAACTACCAAAGTTCAACATTTAAACAATAAAATAAACCCAGATGCCATTAACATGCACAAAAGCAGTATGATAAAAGACTAAGGAAATTTTGGAATTAAAAAAAAATGGCTGTTGCTTGGTTTCTTTTCCTGTTGTGATTAGACCACCACCACCACAACACCACCCTTGAGGAAAGCAATTAAGACAAGGCTTATTCTGGCTCACAATTTAAGATTCTAGCCCATCAAAATGGGGAAGCCACAGCAGCAAGAGCTCCACGCAGTGGATCACACTGTACCTACAGGCAGGAAGCAGAGAGTGATGAATGCTTGTTCAGTTCACCTCCTTTTTACACAGTCCAAGATCCTAGCCCAGGGGTTGGTGTCACCCAC